ATTTAAAATATTCAGTAACTTACATTTTCAACTTGCTGGACTAACTTCATCTCTGTACTGAGACAGTGTCGGATGATGCGGAAAAGGCCCAGGGGATTGTGACTGTACCGTTGCTGAAAAGTACACACAATCTATGAACCCTTCTTTCAGTATCTTTAAACAAACACAAACTGTACGAAACTAAAATCTTTTATGGCGAGCAAATGTATTAAAATCCTTTCATGTAATCAACTGCATCAAAGTTGAGTTGAAGAACTGCTGTCTCTCCATCATTTGGTTTAATTTGGGGAAACACGACACATAAACCACTAATATGTATCTCTGTACATTCCTGAGGTGCCCCTTCCCTAATGATGCACTACGCAACTTTAGGGTGGTGTCAATTTGAGCAGTATCCCCTCCAATATCGTACTGTAACTTGGACAACAATCTTCTATCAGCTGATCTTTGTCCTGAAGGTTGTGTCATCAAGTTTAAGCCTATGGTCAGGCTTAGTTTAAAGAAATGCCAACAGTCGGCTAAAATAATAATGGGTATAATCTTTCTATGACTTACTCTGAACATATTGGCAGCCTCAATTAGCTTCAACTTTGTAAGAAATAAATCTTCTGTTGTCATTGTATTTGCTTTTGCCTCTAATTCCTGTATTAGTGACCCAACCAATCCTGTCACGTACTGTTCATGCTGGGGATTTTCTGGATCCAGATCCCTGAGAATTAGAATAAAATGTACATTTATGACTTCAAACATGATATTATTTACTAAGATCAGTACTTCTCAACTGGAGATCTGATCACCACTGCCAGATGACAGTTTACCTTGACAGTCTGAAAATATTATGCACAGATTATCCAATAAATCTGAAACCAGTACCAAATTTCCTTTTTCCGGACTTTGCTGAATACTGTTTTTGGGAACTGAAAAATGCACTGGAATTATCCTCATGTGAATCAAATGGCCGGACCTACACACAAGTAGATAAATTTAATAACAATCCAACTACGGATAACTTCCTTGGGAATTTCTATAAATAGCATAAACAAAAAAACATGACATCCAATATAAAACATGACCAAAATCAAATCAAGAATTCTTGTGTTAAGACTTAACACAGCATAAGATTCCAATTTGCTTACCTTAAAATCATAAGACATTCATTGCATTCAGCTAAAAATGTGTTACATTTTTCTCCACAACTTTCTTTTTGAAACATTTACTTCTCCAATAATTACAATCTTTGTTACACTTAAGATGCATGCAAAATGTTTCTCGAGTCTGTGTTATTTTTGCCTATTTTGACCAAAACTGGAACATGTGAAAAACTGTCCAGTAAAATTCCCCTAAAGAAACCCTTCAGCAGTACTTGAGTTGTTACACCCCGACAGGTAGATTGACTGACAGATATGATAAAATTAATAAAAACACTTTGTAACATTTTATTGCAAATGGACAAAAAACCTGTAGATTAGTGTTATAACAAAACCTTGAAAACTTACAGCCTCTTCATTGACTGAACTACCACATCTATGATTTTACAGAGGAATGTGTACAAATACAATCATTAGTACATTACCGCAAACCATTTATGCTTAGAAATTAATAGATTTAACTTGAAAATAAATTCTGTACAACACTTTTTGCAAGTAACAAAATTTTATAAGATCGTTTAATTTCAAATGAGCATATATTCTGAATAGGCATTATACCATTAACCATGGGTCCACATTCCACTTAATTAATTAAGAATAAATAAGTCTTCTGTAACAGTGTATTTGCTTTTGCTTCTAATTCATAAAACTATACTTTTATCTTACACCTGAGCAATATATGAACAGTCACTGTAAGCTGATAAGATGTAAAACTATTTAATGTAAAACAACATACCACATTTTCTCTTCAATCCATGCAGCAAGGAAATGGCGTACTTCAATGGGGAAATGCTCCCCATACACAGATCGCACTTGCTGGAGTGCATCTCCCTGGAGCTGCTGAGCCTTAGCCCAGAGGGCCATTGGGTTGCAGTCCGTATTGGAGCAACCTGGACAAAATAAAATGAACTTACAAAACTTTTTTCTCATATCAACACCACAATCCACAACAGAGAATTATTTGAACTTACTTGTGTCTTCATAACAACAGGATGGTCTATCTTTAACATCTCCCGACATGATAATTATTATTCCAGTATCAACTCAGCTTAATAAAAGAAACATCTCAACCAACAACACAACCTACAAGCCAGTCAGTCATTCAATAATATAACTTACTACAATCCAGACTAGCATTGGGAGTCCATACTGCTTTTAATAGAACTATTATTTCTTAGAAAACAAAGTTCGCATATACCCATCTTTCAGAGCGCACACCCAGACGCTTCTGCTTACACACTGGTTTATTGTCACTTCTGATACCAATACGTATATACCGAGACAAGGACAGACGACATGAAACAAAGCAACAACGGCCACTATATGAATTAAACGTTATCCATCACATGATAAAGCATTATATGTAATTTCTAATTGCAAACTTCATCTCAATGCGTGAAATGAAGACCAAAAAGGTTGGGATGCCTGCAGACAAATTCCGAACGTCTAAACATCAGAGTCTGTGCTTCTCTTTTCAAGCCTATAACGCACGCTACATTACATTACAACTTACCAAAACTTACGTCTGGTTTTGTCGTCACTCGGACAACGGATTTTCAATACCTGTGACTAATATTATTTCTTCTGAATAGTAATTACTAGGAAAATATGACATAAACGATCTGCAACACTTTTCCAAGAATTTCCTACCATAAAAATGGAAAACGGCAAATCACGTGACCAACGCATGCGTGCACGTAGGTATGAAAAAGTTTCCTGCCTAGATGTATAATCTCAGTTCCTTCATTTACTTCATATGCGCGGAATGTAGGGTTATAGTTAAAGATATTTATTTTGAAATTATAAGTAATTATCAACTGGATTAATTATATTTCATTGGAGTACTAATGAAATAAAATTATTGTTTTAGAGAAATAATTTATATTTAAATTTTCATACACGATTAAAAAAGAAACAGATGGAGTAATGAAAGGGGGAGAGAGAGGTGTGGCCTACCTCTTCCAAAATAAACTAAAACTAGATTCTGGCAAAACCCAACTGTCTTTATCTAAGAAGGTACGAAAGCTCTGCGCAACCGATTTCTTCCTAATCTCATAGATTAATTTCGTAGATGTGACTTGCTGTGTGCACTTGTTCTATGTACATATTTGTGCAGGTGAATAAAAGGAGCATTATTTACCGAAAGGAGTATACCCTTCAGTAATCCCATTGGCATATGGTTTACCTTTAATATCCATTTGTGCAGCTAGAATTACGGAACGCGTTAGAGTATTTGAGCACTAAAAACTGAATTTGAAGAGGCCCAAAATCCATTGACTGCTGGGTTTATGAGTGTCAATTTGCATTGGGAATTTCCAGTATTTGCTTGGTATTTAGAGAAAAAATTGTTAATTTCACAGATTGGCTGTACATAATTTCTTTCCATACTGCAGCACAGATTTCTTTAGGAAACTATAGTACATAATTTTGCACCTTATAAAAAATAAAACCCAAATACATCCAATTCAGCCCCCTCAGCAAATATAATTAATACTTCATTGGACTTCATCCTTCACCTTGGTTTTCTTCATCAAAAAGTTCTGAAACTATAAACAATTTTGTTTATATATATAACTACAAACGGTGTATAATTCTGTGCAATGTAGAAGTCAATCACGCACCACACACAGTTACACTGTCAACAAACTGACCATGGTCATGGACTAAACCAAGGGATCAGGCAATGCAAGGAACCTGAGGTTGCACATTGAAAAAATAATTAACATAATTCCAAGAATATGTACTTACAGAATATACACATGATGAAAACAAAACAAAAACCTACATAGTTGCATCATTGCTAGATAGAATCAATATGAGGATCCAATACTAGCTCAGAAATCAGCCAAGCTATACAAGGAGTACAAATTATTCACAGTCATTTACAAAAGCTATACAAGGAGTACAAATTATTCAGTCATTTACAGGAAGCATGAAATATTATCTTGTATGCAGTAAGAAAATTATATCTTATTCTTAAAAAGTGTTTAAGGCATCAATATTTTAAGGCTATCATATTTGTAGTCAATGTGCCACAGATACTGTGTGAAAGAATATGTGCTGTTACTTGATGGACAAGGCCTATGAAATAAAGTTCAAAGTCATTTCTATGCACACAACTTCAAATATTTCAATCTTCATTTCACACAGAAATCTGATAGTAGTATCAAGAACATGGCTGTACTCCACTGTTACAAGAATAATTTGAGGCAGATTATATGGAAGCACATAATTCCTTATACTTGCTTTAAAAAAATAAGTTTTTATAAAACCAACAACAAACACAACATTTCCTTTGACAGATATTTTGAAATGAAAATAACATAAAACAACTATTTATATATATATGTACATGAAACTACTGTACTACAAGATATACATATTTGATGATCACCTATTAGCCTTTTTTATGTTTAATGTTGACATCTTATTACATTTTACTGAGTTGACCAGTTTTGCACATTTCTAAAATTATATATGCAACAGATCAGAGAATATTCCATAACAAATGGAGGAGGAGGCAAAGAATGGAATAATTTGATTAAAAGTAATTACAGCTACGTTTTCTGGTGTGAGGCTTGGAGTGACTATATAATTTGTTTCAAAGACAAGCAGAGGATGCACACCAAAAATTTTTCAAAGCCCAAAAAATATTGAAAGTCACTCCTGCCCTTTGGAAAGCAAACAAGAGTTGCTCTGCATTACTTGGTTTCATATAAATTAACACACATTATAGTACCTTTCATTCAGTACAAAGAAATGAGTACCTATTAGTTTGCTACCAAGAGCATACTGTGGTTGACTAGTGTCATGCTAGTGTATACATGTATCATTATATTACAGACTTTATTATATTAATTTGTACAATAAATGGAAATGAAAAAGTGCGTAAAGTGATTCTGGGTGAAAAAAAGAAGGAAGATTTATGTGTGCAATCAGAATTTAAATTAGAGGTAATAGCAATTTTGAATCTTCAGCTAATATAACAGAGCATTCTGTAACTTATGATCCATGAAGTGATTATAATTTTTTTCACCACAAACCATCTAATCAGTTTGGTTACCACAGTGAAGCAAAGATGTGGATGATCAACCTTTGTCGTACATGAATAGGGAGATGCTGGGCTGCTCGCCAGACTTTAACTCTAATGTTTAATGGTATAACAGAACATCACTGTGACTCATGGGTTCTTAGACCATGTGTATGCCATGACCTATGGCTGATAAATATTAAATGTCTGGTTTTGAACCAGCCATGCATGGCTCACTACTTATAAAAAAAAATATGATTACATAAATGGTCAAAACATATTAGAACATACATACAAACAGGTTGTTCAAAGGTAAATCATGGGAACAACTAGGTTACCTCAAAGATAACACATGTAACATGAAGTCTTAACTTGAATCTTGACCATGATACTGACTATGCTTTTCTTCAGTCCTTCCTGGTGAATACTCAGATAGTACCTTAAAATAATAAGTATCAGATTGCTTCCTCCATCATTTTTCAAATTTACCATACACAGTCACCTTCTCACTTCCTTTCTATGTAACCTCTACAACTGATACATCAATATTAAATTACTCTTGGATGCAAATCTGCACATACCTTTACAATGACCTTCCTGTCACCTCACAACACAGACTAAGGGTGGAGTCAATTTTTCCAAAACATTTTCATAAGCAGGCTGAGATTTGAATCCAAGAGCTCCTGAATACATAGCAGGAGTGCTAACCACTCAACCATGTTCAATGTGTACTGTTTTAAAGAACTAAAATAAATAAGGATATAACTGACATCTGTCAAAAAGGGAGAAAAAAAAACTACAGATGTGGCCTTGTTACATTGTGTTAAGAAGCAAATTCCACTTACAAACAGTGGCTTAGAAACATTTTTTCATTTCTTTTTAGCTTGACATTATTTTCGATGTACAATATATAAACATATTACAGCGGTAACTGTGTGTGTACCAAAAGAATGTTTAGAATTTCCTTAATGTTATTTAAAATATAAACAAACATGAGATTCATAAAGGAATTTATGTTATAGGCCTAACATAATTTTACATTTTTTTATTTAATACAACAAAATGATATTGGGCATTCCCCTTTGTCTGAGATATATGTACTAATTGCACCAATTACTATCCTGAGGCACTTAATTTAACAGCTTTCTTATTTTAATTACTTCATTTTTCATGATGATAATCAGGATTGAACCAAAATTCCATAGAATATCACCCTAGAATCCTAACCACTGGATCATACACCTCTTTTAAATCAATACTTAGGAAATTGGATACCTAAAGTTACACTTCAAAGAACTCCCTTTTAAATATTAATTACATTTATTATTTTAACATAATTTCTATGCTTACTGTACTAAGGAAACAAACACTCTTTTTTTGTGATAAGTTTATATCTTTTCAATGTATATAACAGCCAAGATCTGTCTGTCCACTTTGCAGTTTCTCCCAAATAGTGTGCTATTGAAGACATGGTAGAAACGCAAAAATATTTCCCTTGGACAGACTCCCCTGGGGAAATACCGATTTTTTCTATTTAAAAATTTAGGCACAGAGTATCCAAAAAACTTATACAATGGTGTCTTTGAAAAAATTAACACAAAATGTCCTATTCGAGAGACAACCCAAAGAATATTGTTAATTCTCTGTTTTGAATATAATGCAACACAATGTCCAGAAAACACACACACAACAGTGTGTCATAGCAAAAATGGTAAATACTAAAATTTTCCTCTTGGATACACAACCCTGGGAGAATTAAATTTTTCTATTTCAAACTAGCTGCAAGACTCTTTTACTATATACTTTGTATTCCCCAGCCTTTGGATTATGGACATTTCACAAGATTCAGAAAAAAAACAGTAATGCCTGTCAGTAACTCTGAGTCAAATATTTAACTAAACATTCACACTTGCAACAGGAAGTAATTTCCAGTCTTTAGACAATGCATAGTATTGAATGTTGAAAATGACTTTTCTTTTTTGCACAAAACCACACAGTTCTTCAGCTATATTTTAATAATTTCAGCAGAGAGTGAATGAAGAGAAAACTGAATTCCTATTGGCATGTCCATCTTTCCTTTTTCATAGTAGAATCAACTTTCAGTGAATACAACCACACCAGGGTCTGTACTTCTTTAAGAATTATACATAAGACATCCCACAAATAAACTCTATTTACATGCGCTTCAATCAGACCGACTCCAAAGCAAACAATTATACATGGCTTTCTGAATATGATTATATCTTATTGCTCCCATCAAAATGTCAATAAATATAACTGTTACAAAGTTGAGTTGTGCTTCTAAAATTTAATCCTTTCAATTATTTCAAGTGGCTTCTCCTACTTTTACTTATTTGGCACTTAAACCACTTCACTACCAAACTCTTTGTTGCAAAATGATATAAACCATTCTACAGCTCATTTACTTATTGTGAACATCAAGTACCACAAAAAAATTCACAAGTGAAGCAAGAAAACAGATATTCCAGCTGTTTCAATACCCAGTATTCTTTCATATGATGTACTTTTTAGAACAAGTTTTTACGCTACTCACGATTCCAGTCATACACAAATTTATTCTAAATTCAGGCAATAATCTCAATAGTTCACAATTATGTAACATGATTATTACTTTGTTTTTGTCCTTATAAGAATGGATGACTGTACAATGTGTTTATGAATAAAGAATGTTGACATACTGGCAGTGATAGCCTGCAAAAGGAAGAGGCACACACCTTCGACGTGTGCTAAAGGAAAACAAAGAAAACATCCTGACCGTGAAAAACGTAACACAAGGCCTCATACTTTGATAAATTCTTTGGAATGATCTCATTTGACTCAGAACAAAAACTAAAGGAAAACAAAGAAAACATCCTGACTGTGAAAAACGTAACACAGGGCCTCATACTTGGATAAATTCTTTGGAATGATCTCATTTAACTCAGAACAAAAACCAGTGGCAGGGCTCCATAAAAAGCAGGAGATTTCTTAACTAGCTGAGCCAACTATTAGTTTCTGAATGAGTGCACTCCATAAATTTAGGGAAACTGTTAATGTAGAACAAATCTGTACTCCTGACTCTGTTTTGCCTTCATAATCAGAAGGCTCCAGATGACTTCTTCATGTAAGTTGAGATACTGGTGGACTCCTGGTATTACCCTGCACCAATTCTGTTTGGAAATGTACTGCGTTGTCCGTTGATGAAAACAATGTGTGTTCACATAAAATATGTTACAAATAATCACTCAAGTTGAAATGCGTAGTAGTGAGAAAATTCTACTAACAATGTGAAGTGGAATTTGAGTTGAAACTCAAAACAATACACGACTTACATAAATTTACATCAAACAATTTCAATGCAAGGAATGTCAACTCTTAACAAAAACCGGTACTTTGTGACCATGAGGCAAGAAGCTGGACTCTCCAAGTTTATGCGTTTGATCCTCGGTGAAATCTGTGTGGATTTTTCTGCACCCAGACTGAAGTGATCAGGCCCCCACAATGGTTTGCAGCCTACATTAAAATTCAGGTCACATCTACCGACCATCATCTTCGTAACTACCCAACGACTGGGGGTAACAGAATCCACCGTATTAGTGTCCGACCTCAGAAATGGAACCTACACCTGCATACGTTTGGCAGAGGCTAAGAAAAGTCATCACAGACCATTCATGGGGACATCAAAGACCGATCAATCGCTAATTTAAGAAATGTCAGATTCATCTAACGTAGAATATAGTTGTTGATTGGAAGGTATCAATTAAAATATGTTCGGATACATCAAGTAATGGATGTTATGGTAAAACAATGTTTAAACAAATTTTTGGGCTATACAAACAAGTGTTAAAGTACAGACATTTTGGCCACTCCACCTGCAATTCCATAAACATACTTAAAAACAAACATGCCATTATGAAGACTGAACACATCTGGTAGTAAATTATAAATTATGCCTTTGGTCATGGAACTGAAGAAGCCAAAAGTATTACCAGGAAGTACATCATATGACTACAACACTGTAGAAACATCCGTGAATGTCGTGAATTCAACTTGTCACGATGGTTTGTTACTGCATCATATTTTCCATCAAACATATCCAATAAATTGACAACATCATTCCTTTCTAGAAATATTTATACCTTACACAGGAAGTAACAAAATATTAAATAAATGTTACATCATTCATCATGCTCTGGGCTTTCCTGCTCAGCTATTGTGTAGTTTGAAAAAGTATATAACACAACTTACTGACAATTTAAATTGAAAACACAAGTTTAGACAGGTTCAAAAGCAGAATGAATGTTGTAATATGTGACAACGCTGAACCATTTAATGGCACAGTGATACAATTTGACGTAATACATCACATATTGAGTCATAAGTTGCAAAGCTAATTCCAACAGCAACTGGCCCTTTAACCCAATTCATACTAAGGCCCTTGAAGAAACCTCCACGAATACCTTCGTACCTGAAATATTGATCAGCGCATTAGAATGGAAGCACACTGCATTTTTCCTAGAACGGAGTTCACATAAAGATTTATGAAAGTGTAATCAACTGTTTGATAATTTTACAGGATAGGACTGAATGGAAGAGGAGAATTGAGGAGGCCGTGGACCGAATACGGACCGGAGAGCCATAGAAGAAGAATCAACTGTTTGAAGATTATTTATTATGGGGACAATCTGGCTACAAATTCAGTGTTGTTAAGTCTTTGTGGCACAGCTTATGAATAAGGACTCCAAACTATATTAGTGTTATCATACTATCAATAGCTTGGCATAATGTGCTATTGCTACCAAATGGTGATGAATTATTCTAAATACACTGTGAACACTTCATATACAAGAAGACTATGTTCCCATACTTATCCACACACATATTTAAAATTGCATATTTTTTTTAAGTTTTAATAACAGATCTATTTGTTCAATAATTGCTAACTGTAGACAATTTTCCTAGACCTTACACATTCCAAGTCTACCCTGAAAAAATGCATCTCTTATCTAAATCACGTAAGTATAAGACGTTTTATTGTACCTGTATATCTTCTTGAGTGTTCCAAGAATCGTCTTGTACTGTGTGCCAGATATAGGTGAAGTCTGCATACGACGTCTTACAATATCTAGAGGGTAAGAAGAAGACTGCCCCAACATCCCTGCTATGGCACCAAATGCAAGACTCGGAAGAGGACCAGCCTGTTTACTTGTACTGCCAGTATAATCTGTAGCATGCAACGATTTTTTTAAATTCTATATCGTAAGTAACAATTTATCTTATTTTAACAAGGTCTTAGAAAGTAATGTTTGTTTTTTTAAAATTACAAGAAACAATATCAGGGGCCAGACAAAGAGGTGGCTTGTTTTCTGTTTGAAGATGTGTAATGATACAAAGCGAAGGTGTATGGGTTCAAAGTCTCACACCCTCAATTATAAGCTAATCCTCAGGTAGAAGGCATTCATCAGTCAGAAATTCAAAATAACAAAATACTAACTGTAAATGTTTCCCATAAAAGCATTGAAGCTAAGTGCATGAACCTGTCCAACTTGCAACAAAAGGGGTGTTCAAGTTCCAGGATAGAGGGGTGTCCAAGATATAGAGTGTTGTGGACATGTAAAATTATAGGATATTCGCCGGTTCCAATTAAAAGTGTCCAATATAGAGGGGTGTCCAGGATATAGGGTGTCCAACTAGAGGGGTTTTACTGTATATATCACTTGCCCTTTCAGAGTAGGAGGAGACAACAACCAATCATGTGACTGGTAGTCAATATACCTAAAGATTTGTTAATATGTTTTAATTTTGATGTCAGTGGCAAAAGTTGGAATTAAACATGAGACCTAAATATTAACAACCTGTTATTATAATGATAACATAATATTATTAATACGGATCGAAATGAAATACGGTGGGAGGGTGTAGACTAGATTCGAGTGACCCAGGCCAGTGACAACTGACAGGCTCTTGGGAACATGGTTCCACAGAAGGCGTGAGATTTTTAATGCAATTTCAGTTTGTTACCATCATTCATAATTATTTTAGTGTTGTCACATTTTCAAAGATTTGTGATTTTGTCCTACAATCTCGTGATGGGACATGATTATGTTTTCACTTTATTTACTCCAGTCACACTTGCATGTTATGAAAGTCATTATTCCAGTATTATAATCTTCTATATACATACCCATGTACTTCCTTTTTAGAGTATCATATGTGAAAAAACTAACGCCAGCATAGGGAATTACGCCGAGAACAGTCGGTAAGTAACCTCGGTACAGAGCATGTGGTCCTTCTTCGTACCAGATTTTAACAAACACTTCTCGTAATGTCCGGTACTGTTCTTTATGAGTGACAGCCATCCGAGCTCGGGCCAGGTCCAAGGGGTAGGTGAGAGATTGTGAGGTGACTCCAGCTAGTGAGCCAGCTAGGAACCTCATGAAAGGAGAAGTCCTGAACAAACAAAAGTACACAATTAATTTGTATTGTTATATGTTTTTATGAAAATGGCACTAATTATACAGGAAAACTGTATAAGATAAAAAAACCTGCAAATTTGATAGTAGGAAAAGAAATGAATTTTTCACAACAGTGTCTTGAATATATATATTTGTTTCACAGCATGTTGTTTTCATAACGAAATTAACAAAATCAACAAATTACTGTACTTATGGCTTTTGTCGACATCCACACGAAGGACCCTCTTCCATTGTTCATGTGCAGTAAACTGGATTGCAGCATAGGGAATGATGCGTGCCATAGTTGCAGAATTACCACGCCACAGGCTAAGCAAACCTTCATTTCGATAAGTGTTGACTAAAAAGCGTAAAGCTTCTCTTGCAGAGTATCGAGACTCTGAGATCTGAAAATTTATTTTTGTGCGGTCCAGTGGTGCAATTGTGGTTTTAGCAGCTGCACCCGCTGTTGCCCCAGCAATCATACTTGTCACCACTTGCTCTGTGTTTGACAGCTTCTGAAACTGAATGAAGTCGAACACACCGATCTGAGAAGTTACAAAATAATTTGCTCTATTCGCTTGATTTGACATCCCACAACTTCTGAGGGAATAAACTACTTCATTAGGATACAGCTTCCAAAACTTATTCACTAGGATACAGATTCCCAAACTTCTGATGCCCTTATATCATGGTCTATCATGTCCTGGATCATTTAAATCAAAAACATCACTTGTTGTAAGCATTAAGAAACAGCAAGCAGAGTGACAATCAAAACAAATTTACAAAGCCACACTTTAAAACATAATTTAATGTGACATGATAAATGAGATGCAATTTATTTTTAATTTTATTTTACAAATCCTTGAGCATATCCTGTCAACTGTTAAGCAGTCACTGACAATTTTGTATTTCTCTGGACTTCACACAGGCTAAGAGAGTTGAAAACTATTTCATAAAATTACGTGTCATAATAGAATAATTCAAATTCTGATTAGATCAACAGAAAACTTACGATGGTATGAAGTTATTATCATCCATAACTAACCCACTACCATTCTAAGTCATCTTACAAGTAAGATCTACAATCAAGCAAGCTCAATGTACAAAGTGACAGAAGCTGGTTTATATACTGATTCAAACAAGGACAAGGCATGAAAAAATAAATAAAAGAAATAAAGAAAGAAAAAAGAAAATTCTCTTCATGTGTTTTAGGCTCCTGATATGAATTTCAGTTATTATACCAGTTAATTTTTCTACAGAAATAATTTCATTATTTTGCTTGAAAATCAGTGTTAAGAGACTAAAATAATTTGAATACATAAACAAAAAATGTTGAATACATCAAAAAATATAAGTGCAATATGTACAATTCTGAGATGTTTAATTACCATGCACTATCAAAACATGAAACACAACTCACAACTTCTTTGTTGTTAATTGCTGAATCATGCTGATGTTTTCTAATTGCAAGCTTGGAGCTCTCTTCCCTGAGGACCACTGTTGTATCTGTTGTTCTTCCCTCCACTGTGCTATGGCTCATGACTGGTTCCAAAGTCTCACACTGTTACAACTAATTAACACAAACATTACTAAGTTGTAAATAACATGGTATCATCTGCACCTAAAATAAGCAAACTCTGGTTATATCCTCGCCTGCATAGACATATCATTAGCTACAGTCCACAGAGCTAAGCTTGCAAGCTGACACATTCCAAAACCGAATCCAGGACTACTGCGGGCACAGTTACAATACACTTGAATAAAAAGTGTAAAACCATGATTCAATGATAAGCGAAATAGGCAACAGTAATTTTCTCGTAAACCAAATTATATACCACAGCATGGTAATTTCTAAATTTACTAGTTGTAAACAAACGAAAGAGTAGAAAATGTACTTATTAGAAATTTCCAGTGCTCATACCGAGGCAAATAAAGCAGTATGAGATAACTGTTTCTTTCCAAGGACAAAGCAAATATTGCACTACCTTTCTGCAGATTCAAAATCATCGTGTCCTTTGACACCTGTTTTGGACTATTTCAAAATCACATTCTCTCTTTCTTCTTCCATTTGCACCATAATAAATGGTAAACTGGAATATAAAGTTACAATTAAACATCTTTTCCAATCCCAATTTCTTTATGTTATACAACTCACTAACCCCACTGCTACAGCTTAACTTAAAGTATTACAACATGAAGAAAATCTGTATTCTTTTATTTTTTAAATCTGTGACTACGACAAAGAACAACACCATGCACCAGGAAAATATTTTGACTCACAAAGGATAAATCAGTAAGTAAACAGTGACGGACAAACCAGATATAATTTAATTCTTATTACTTTTTGTACACACTTATATTTAACTAATAATCTTACTTAAAACATTGCTAAGCAAGGCCAACCTATGACAATTCCCTCACTACAAACTTGTCAAATCTTAAAACACATCCACACACAAATGAACAAAAAGGGAAGGTGGACTAAACGCCTCAAAAATAAATCTACGAAAATACAAGCAGCTACAGTTTTCTTCATATTAAATAGACTCTTAAACTCACTGCAAGTCATCTACAGTGAATAAAGCATTCATATAAAGTGCTAATTACTGTACCTACAAAACACACCTATCTTCTTGATACCAATCCAACTACGGTTCGCTTTGCCCGAACTCGCCAACTTTGCTTAACTCGCAGTTGCAGTACGTGAGATTACGTGGTTACATCATAGCTGTACTTTAATTTTTACTCCGTCCAATATTCTCTGAAAGGTTCATAAAATGGATGATTACAAATTTTTATACACTAATAATTACATGGGGACCAAACACACCTGACAGTCTCATGCACAATTCTGTATTAAGTTGATGCATGATTTTTCAGAATAAGACTGTTACATCAATGAACTGTCAAAGTTGTTAATAGTTAGACCAATCGGAAAGTTCAAAGAGCTCTGATTTCTACATTTCTATAATAATCATTCAACATCAATTGCCTCACACATCGCACCAGAACATAACACAAATAGAATCATGGAAACAAAATACACCCGACTGTGTGCTGTTGTATGAAAACATTACGTCCCAAGCGAAAGCAAGACTTGGCCCATTTGATTTATATTGTTGCTGTTTACCGCATTACGTATCAAGCGTATAAACATTTTAAGAGTATGTAGAACATTGACAAAGGAAACCACAATGATCAACAAAACACCAAAATAATTCAACGAATTATGAAGTGGACATAGTATATTTTCATAACTGTTATAAAAGTAAACATCTGCTGTTATCCCCGATATCTCGCATTAGCTCATCTGAGTCACGCATTGCCCATATTCTGATAAAGAACCATCAGTCTGACAAAATAGTATAATACGTAGATGAATGCGTTGAATTCAACACCTTAATATTGCCACTTTCACAAAATTATACTTCTGGAAGACATTTACAAATGGTATTGCTATGTGTTTGTTTTATTTACAACTGTGTTACAGATCCATAGGTCTTGGTATTCAATGTGTTCTATTCCTAAGAAATACTCTTAGCTGCTGTGAATGTTGTAAGTGACACGTTACCTTTGTTTCAGGCACGATATTTTAGAGAACAGGATATCGATGGTAAGAATCTGAAAATTCGTGTTTGGCTGATCTGTAGGTTCATTGGTCGATTTCTCTAGTTTCTTCCTGCCTCCGTGGTATTATTATACAATTGTGTTACAATGTTTTGTTTTCCAACAGAGTTTCGAGAATGTTTTTACCTTTTTGCCCGAAGTGGCCAAATTAGAACTCTGGATGAGTTGACAATCATCATGAGGTCACTAGGAATGAGCCCAACAATTCAGGAGCTGAAAAAATACCTTAAAGATAAAGGCAAGTTTCACAATTTCATTAACCATCATGCTATTTGACACTATATTAGAATAGAATTGATTTACCTTCCATAGATCCTTCAGGGGCTGAAGTAAGCCAAGGATGTGGAACATGTTTCTAATACTAATATAAATTTCATAGTTATGACAAGTTGTCAAATTCTTCAAAATGGCGGTTACCAAAGAACTCTTGTGTGCAGCGCTGCAAAGTAGATTGTAATATGGTTACTGAAGAACAACTTTAAAGGTGATTCACATTATAGAATACTATGCAGCGATCATTTCATTCACCAACATTTCCACATATTAGTAAGTTGATTCCTCTGGTGTGACTGTACATGCAGATATATCATGAATCACCTATCTGAAACCATACTGTATGTTACCATAAGTAATGTATTGTTCAAGGTGTTGACACCATTTCCTATAACCAAAACCTGATTAATACAACTCTTTTTGTGATATTAATATAGGTCTACATCATTTATCACTGTGTAAACACACAGTGTGGTAACTTTTCTTAGCTGATTTTAAAAGCCAGAGTATAATGAAAAACAATTTGCAGGTGGCAAAATGTCCTTCGCAGACTTCTTGGATGTAATGCATATTCATAGTCGAGCAGAAGACTTGCCTCGTGAAGTGGTAGATGCTTTTAAGGCAGCAGATTCAGCTAAGAAAGGTACTATACCTGCTCGTCAGTTGCGACACATGTTGCTGCACTGGGGAGAACAGCTTAGTGCAAAGGAGGGTAAGTGCCAAGAAATGTAGAAATCATCTTGGTTCATTCTGAGGAGGAAAGTAAGTGGTTGATATCATAGGTTGCTTTCAGCTTAGAAGTAGCCATGTTATGGCAAACCAGTAGGACTATTTCCCCTCCCCCCTCCAATTTTTCAAACATTCTAACATATTATGTATGTAAATATTACCACTAAAAATTCCTGAAGTCACTTGGGTTGGAAAAGTTACCTGTTGTTTTATATTACACCCACAGTTCAAGGGATAAAAAAGCAAAACTGAATTATGGTGAAAATTGAAATTCTTACTTCAAGGTTTTCATGATATTGAAAATACAGATCATCACAACCCAGAACACCACAGTTGGTCATTTATTGGTGTTTTGTTCTTCTTCAGTTGAACAGATATTTCGTGAGGCAAATGTCTCACCCGGTGGGCAAGTGCAGTATCAAGACTTCGTGAAGATTGCATGTGCTCCTGTACCAGACTATTACTAGTTAAAACAGAATTGGCAGGTGTAAGAATAAGTTTTTATGATCCTGACACAATCATCTTAAAATGTTAAAGGTTTTAATGTATGATGATTTTGACTTGAATCATAAACTGTTCTTATGATGCTTTCTTGATGTATGTTCTACAATGTTTTTAAAAATTTACAATTTCAAGGATTAGTTTTCCGAGTGTTGGCATATTATTTTTAAATTAGATTTATTTTAACAGTATTTATCATTCATTCCATGGATATGTATTACTGTGAAGTGTTATAAAATAATATAAAATCATTATGAACCCATGTATAATGTGTTGTTTTTAATAATGTTAATGAGAGTCAAAATATCACATACAAATGAAGTAACGAAATTGTTAAAAGATTCGTAACATTCATGTGGGCATTTTGTTGGTGTAAATCCAACTTAGTTATGGTAATTGCTGATAAGATAACAGCAGAGAACATACCACAAACTATAATCAAAACTCAAATCTCTGATTCATCAAACTTACACTGTCCATTCAGCTGGAAATTCTATAGCCAAGTGAATTTAAGAGGTTAACAAGGTGAAGGATGAGAATTAAAACCTACTTGCAGATGCACATAATATTTTTAATGAGTGAAAAAAATATGTCAGCTTAAATGGAAAATCAGATTTTAAATGCAGCTGAGACATTATTAGTACCTGATGCTAGTTCTGATGATGCTGAAATTTCTGTTCAGAAGATGACAAGGTACAATTTGCCATCTAGTTTTGGACTACCAAGTTAATAGGCTCAAGTGATAACACTTCTGATTTGGATTCAGGAGATGCTCAGTTCAGGTTTCAGCTGGAAGACTAACCAAAGTTTTCATGACTTCAGGTAAGTGCCAGAATTAGTACCTCAAAATAGGCTACTACTAATTCCTCTTCATTCCTTTAAAGTTCACTGAGCACGATGATCCTAGCTTCGTATCTTCAGATAATAATGACCAGAATGATGGTCCACAGAAATCTGAAACATCAAACAGCTGACTATGTATTACAAGGCACAAGGTTGACATGGTAATGTATTTCCCAGCAGTTGATGGAAAATATCAGTGTTAAATGCAGTATGAAACGAACAGTTTCATATTACCGTGTTCATATACATTAATTTTCATCTGAGCAGTGTTTTCTGGAAATGATGGGAATTCAGCTCATTTAAGTTATAATAATGTGATATAAAAGTGGAAACTTCATTGGATTCAAACTTTGTATCAAATAGAACATGCTTGCAACATGTTATATCAGCTGATGATTTTCGAACAAGTAAAGCTTCTGAAAGTGCAGTGTGGATTTTGTCAATAGAATATTATGAGTTGTACTTTCCAAAAAAGAATGTATGGTTCTGCTTCATGTTCAAAAGTTTCAGTTTTAACAATGTATGATTATATTTTTAACTCCATATAGCAACTGTTCTGTTTAACTCTTCTTTTTATTAATATTACAACATACACATTGTGTTCAGCTGAGAGAGAAAAAATGTAATTACTGTGTTGAAGTTGTACAAACTAGCTGGCAAAACAAGTTGCAGACTGTGTTCACAATGTTTATATAATTTTATTTATAAGAACATTAATACATTAGGTCACCTTTACACACATTTTCTCTTCTTTAGTTACCATTTAGGATTATGTTATAAGCATTTCATAATCTACTTACCATACTTTCAATAAATATCTTCCAACAATAAAGTCCCAGTCTGCTTTTAGAAATCTTGTTGACAGCTCATGATGAAAATGAAACACTCACATAACACATGTACTGTAAGTTCACATAAAAGGAGTTTAGATGTTTTTCTCCATTTTTATAAATCAACTGTTATTACATTTTAAATTATGCATATATATTACATTGTCAGGAGCATACATCTCATCCCACATCTTCTCAATTGTTGCAAATACACAAAAATTCAACCCATTAACTGTATTATTTTGTCTCACCACATGTTTTCATCAGAAACAAATATCATAACAATATATTAACTTCATAAAACACATATAAAACCACAATAAACTCAGTGGCATCAATATGTTTCTATAAAAATTATAGTTTTGGAAAACTTTGTCATTCTTACACATATTTCATGTTACAAGAGCTTATCATATAAACTGAACTTAATAGTATAGATTAGCATTCAGACAAAGATATCCCAAGTGTGACTTTTTAAAGCAATCTGCTTCATCACAGCTTCATTCAAGTACCCTATATTTAATATGTAATTCTTGTTTTATAATTTCAGCCATTTTATGAAGCTTTCTGTCATTTTCATCAGATAAATCAACCAATGTCTGGGATAAAACTCCATGTCGCATTGTATTCAATAGTAGATTATAATTGTTTCAAGTAAGAGAGTTAAGTACTAACCAAACATTCACTTTTACAACCAAGAATTATTACAAAAATTATATGGCTATAGGATTTGTGTCTCTGAATTTATGAATGGAAGAAATATAATGGAATTAAAAATGGTCAAAGACTCGGTCACGGTAGGGGGACCAAGATGATGGGGACGAAGCAAGTCTCTTGACATCTTGGTTCTTAATTCAACTTTAACATGGCTGATTGCCTGAGAGAAGTTTAGCACACTTACTCACTGTGAAAGCTTTATATCTTAACCACACACATCTCATGAACATCAGAACATTATAACCAAAAGTTCAGTCTGTTTTGAGCCTTGTAATTTATCTGCAATTGAATCTTCTGTCTCCTAAACTTTAAAGAAAATGTCTCAAAAGGTTCACAACTAACATGGGACAACAATAATCTCAATGTAACCCGACATTCAACATGAATTACTCAAAACACTTAGGATTTGAAACATTACCTACCTTCTCTGTGTATTCATTCTGATTATTGCACTGTCTCTAAACATTATAACAAGACTTCCTTATCAGATCTTTCATTTTTATTTGGGTGCCAGTATGATAACTGTGCTGTTATATGAACATGTCAACATACAAGATTAATTCTACAAACATACTTCCTCATTTTTAAACCAATCTGACAATTCTATTAGATCATTTTATCAAAACATTTCACTCACGCTATTCATCTCATCAAGGGCCATACGGAGAGCCGCAGAGGATCACTGTCGTTGTGACAGCAGTTGTGAGCAGAAATACCCACAGCAAGAACCTGTCACACACTAGTGCTACTTGCTTCCATTCTCGCTCTGTCACATCTCGGTGTTCCTGCTCTGTGACGCGCAGCTCATTGCGTTCGATGGTGTGGTTCACCTTGTTCAGCACACGCAGAAACTGTGCCTCAAAACTGTCTGCAATGGATAACACCCTACAGTTTGCAGATCATGAGTAATCAGACTTGATTATAAAAATATAACAAATATAATGTAATATGGGACTGACATGTTAAATCTTGATACCACCACAGATTCTGAACTGTAGCAGGTAGCAATCGGGGAAACACGATATACATGCTAATTCAGAATATTGAAATTAAGCATGTGTGTACAGAAAGAAAGTAGGATATTTACTGAAGAATACAAATGATGAATCTCACAATTTCATAATTTTATCCACTGTCTTACTTCCTCTCTCCCCTATGGGTTTAAATATTCTCAGCAGCGATTTCTCAAACACGCTCAAAGTATACTTTTCTTTCACAATTAGAGACCAAGCTTCACACAAATGCCAAACAAGCAAATACAATGAGTAGAAATTAATTCCAAAATCACTCCTGGGGTTCAATCACTGGAAACAGGATGTCGAGAATTTTCTTGGCTACTGAAACCTAGAGACACTTGGTGTCCTAGCCAATGTGCATTGGGGGAGGGATCAAAGCATTATACAGAATAGTTCTGATCCCTCACTTCAGGTTTTTCTATTTTTGTAATTAGTAACGCCATCTATCACAGCCAAATGTAAAACTATACCTGGTGTTGAATCTGCACGGCTATGACGAGGCAGGAAACGTGGAGACATGTACTGAGGATCCAGATAATCCCCTTCACTGTCTGCTATCCACTTATTGTCTGGTTGGCGTGGACAATCTAATCGTGTGCCAGTGCCTGTATTCATGTCCTGCTGCAACAGATTCCCCGTATCATGGCTGTTTCATTCTGTAGACTTTTAGACAAACTAATAAACTAACTAACTTCATGGAGCAAAGTCCTCCATGAGAAGATAAAAGTGACTTAGCACGTCAAGAAATCCTCTGCCTTTTGTGGAATCTGAAGGTTTATTACTCTGTTCACAACAGCTTATCACTGGTCCCTAACTTGAGCCTCATAAATCCAGCCAATATGCTTCCACTCCTTTAAGATCTGCCTTAATGTTAGCCACCCATCTACACCTAGGTTTTCCAAGTGGTGTCTTCTCATACTTGCTGATCAAAATTTTGTATCCCATGCATGGTGCATGCCCTGTCCAGCTCATTATCCTTGAATCATTCTTTTTTCTTTTTTTTTTCCGGTTTAACAATGTTTGTACATTTTCCGGTACCCTTTACGGGTCCCCAACTTTTCAGTTGGCTTGATCTATGGACACTTGGTAGGACTCCTTGGACGAGGGATCGGCCCGTCGCAAGGCCTCTACCTATACACAGGACAACACAACACAGAAAAACATCCATGGCTTGAGTGGGATTCGAACCCATTGTCCCCGCGACCAAGCAGCACAAGACCCACACCTCAGACCGCGCGGCCACTGCGGACCCCTGAATCAATCATTAAAATAATATTTGATCACTTCATCCCTCTTAAGTCAAAATATTCTCCTCAACGCCTTGTTCTTGAACACCCCCATCTGTGGTTGGTTTATGGACATTGAACTAACAACATACTACAAAGAGTACACAGAGGCAAGGTTCAACCACCTAACAAGACACAGCAGATAATACTTTCATGATAGTTTTAACATGTTTTACTGTCCACCACTTTCAGTACTTCTTGGTGGTTATTTACCTTAAAATTAATACATCACAAAATGCTTGCACTAATAAGTGCTTATGTATGCAAGTGTTAAAGTGAAACTGACGATCGCTTGACAATTTAAACTTGTCATTCTGAAGGTATGCCAGTTAACATGCTACAGGGACAGTACAATGATGCAGTGAATATTGGTAATTATGTTGCATAACAAGTGATGGAACACTGAATAGTAAATGTATAATTAACACAACAGGATGCTGCACTGAAAGATTACATTGGTAGAGTATTTATTTCCACACAACTCTTGTTCCAAAAGAAACATCTTAATTACGAAAAAATTATATTGAACATAAAGAAATTTCTTAGATTTAAATATTTTGACGTTATTAGGTTTGAAAGAAAATGATTTTGTATGGAATTGAGGTTATATTTATTAGGGAAATGAGAGCAGTATAAAAGTCTCAGATAAAAAGGAAAACACTAGCTATTTCAACCAAGAGATGACTGAAAATTGGAGAAAATCTTGTAATCAAACTTCAACATACATCATGGCACAATGTTTAAGTGAATTTCAGAGGATCTGCAGCTGGTATTCAAGTACCGTCCATTCATAACCATTAAGTAATTACGTATCATAACAAACTTACGTGTTGCATCGAAGGTCTGTGTTTGTCTCGTGGTTCAAACTGGAGGAAGACTAGTTTCGCCAGCTTGCCCAGTATGAGGGCCTTGATCATTCTGGGGACACCAGTTCCTCTCACTCCACGATGGTACACATTGAGTGTCACAACAGATAAGCCTGATGCAAATGATACTAGGCATATGCTAACCCCATAATACAAACCTGTCAAATAACAATGTGTTGTACAAATCATGAAGTTAGTAATATCAACATAAGAATTACATCAAATACAATACCTCCACATTACTTACATAACATTTAACCAATTTATTTTTATAGAATCTGTGGTGGTATTCATTTTCAGTCTAATGAAAATTCTAGTCGGTACTTCGTATCTATTTTGTCCAACTTATTTTATGGTTTCATTCCACTAATTCCCCACTTAATGGTACCTGCACCTTGTCGTGGTGGTGGGGCTTGAGTACCTCAGTGACCCCAAGAGCTATGCTGGTGGTAGCATAGCTACTGGTAGGGCCTCCCTAGCCAGAAATTGTTTTTTACAGAACTCAAAGACTCATTACTGTATTTGCAACTGGTGACTACTGGTCTAGGCCAAATTCTGATTCAGTTGTATTTAGTCCACATCCTCAAACACTGTTTCTTTAAGACCTAGATATGCCTAGGACTCCCACATTGTTACCTGATTTCAGGATTTCTGATCATAATTTGTACACATTTCTCATTCTCCATGGATGCTATATGTTTTGTCCATCAACAGCCTTTGATTTAATCACCCTAGTAATAATTGGTAAAGAGCATAAATTATTAATCAATTATTATTTTCAATTAAACTTGAGCATTGCAGTTATAAAAGTAGGGAAAATGAATAAAGAATTAATATGTGCTTGTTAAACTTACTAATTAAAGGTGTCTTCTCTGTAGGTGGAAGACTCTCTCTTATGGTCATGAGGAAAACTGTCATTGAGAGCAAAGCACTGATGCCTAGAGTTACTTTCTCGCCAGATTCGGATGGAACATAGAACACAAGCAGTGCTGGAAGGTACCAAAATGGCAATTACAATATTAATTCAAAGAGCAGTTTCTGAATGAAGTTCTGACAAAAGCTGCATCTGCATTCTAGTAAAACATGTTGAATGTGAGCTGTGGTTAGATTCTTTGGTTGGCCAGTCCACAACATTACTTTGCTTAAACCTCATGTGTTATAGGGAGCAGCCTAGGGACAGAACTTTCTGATGGATGTATCCAAAAGTTTGTGAGACGTAGGAGATTAATGGAACAACGTATTGATTTTGAAGGAAATCTTACATGCCTAGCAGTCCTTTTAAAACCAAACAAACTGAATTGGTCAAGAAATTTGCTACTCTTTTATTCAAGATTGAATACCTTATATATCTTTCACCAATGCCAAGGTCTCCCATCTTGTCCCTTTCATTCTAACCTGATTGAAACTTTGTATGCCTTTCTCATCTCTCTGATGTGTGCTACAAATTCTGCTCATCACATTCTCTTAAAATGTTCCTCTTTTTCTGAATAATGAAGTCTAAAATAGTACTAATATGATTCAGGATTTCAGTTATGTCACCAACTTTAAGTACATTTAACCATTTGAAACACGAGTTAATCTAAACAATACTTAAATATACAGTTCCTACCTCAAAGGAAACAAAGCCTATCTATTGCAAAGCAGTGGTGAAGATTCTGGTCTTGACTAGTACTGTGCTGCCAGACCCTAAAACTGGAGGAACACAAAAGAAATGTTTTATTATATAACCCAACAATGGTATGATCATAATGCATTTTTGCGTAACCTCAGTTCTACACCATGAATTACGTCTCTTACAAACATCAACTGATTAAAGTTGTTTAGGGAAATACTTGGAAACACCGTTTATTTTGAGCGTCAGATGAAAGCCATACTCTCTTTGGTCAAAATATAAAGTTCGTGAATGTTAATTGCCCACATTAGACATGTGCAATAAATCCATTTATAATTTTTTTTTCCAAAAATTTGTTGTGTCTATCAAATTTGCACTCCTGGAGGAAGAGACCACACCAGTTTCTTCATCCACCAGGTATTGCAACGTAAGTTAACAGAATTTCAATTGTGATAACTGTCTGTACTCATTCAATATAAGTAGAACAGACATCTGAAAGCTTTAAAATAATTTAGCGTGGATGTGACGCCGTATGTGGGGGGGGGGAGTTATCACATTCGATATTGAAAAACAATTAAGTTTTTTTTCATTATCTGCGATCGGTAATGCCAACTTCTGCTTGAAGGTCTCAAGTGTAGTGACGATGCCACTGCGCATTGCCGTCTGCACATGTGCGTCACAAACCTAACCCAACTCAACCATACACAAACTCTACGCTCTTGGCAAGTAGTCTTCAGGCGGCAGAAATTTTGTAGCGATGATAAACCATTGTTAACATCTTGATATTAGCACATTGTGACTCCTTATTCCTGGTAGTGCCATCCTGAGATATCTCAAAGCCGCGAGGAGAAAAATATTAACACCAAAGAGCGTCCACTGCCAACAAAACTTTCTTCACCTGACTATTCAAAACGACGTTCGTGCGCATTTCGAAAAAAGAGATTTACGAAACAAAATCAGATTCTAAATGTCGACAGGAACCACTTAACACTGTAATTAAAGCTTTCGAATAGTATTTCCAATGCACATTGCTTCAACACACGCAATATTTCGTGCATCCATTCCTACCAGCTTTAACACGGAGATATATCGATGTTGGGTGTCTCGATTTACAGTGTTAATTTACGTCCACACTGACTAGCTTTCATAGTTCCTACATTTGTTTATAAAAATCATTTGCAAAACCATCACACCAGCAAGTAAGCAAAATAACGTGACCGACAAAATCAATACTGCTAATCGCTCACATTATATGAGATCGCAAGGAACATTAACATCATAAATCATATTAATAATTAATAATTCAAATGTTAATTAATTGTTTCACAGAATAATGAACAACTAACCAAAATATGCAAAATACTACGAAGATCAAAAGGAAGAAATCTACAAAAACAAATAAATCAATAAAAGGTTGCATTAATAAATATGTATTAGTTTTAAAGATGAAAATAATAATAAAAAACCTGAGGATGATGCAATAGCATCGAAACATGTCGTAAAAATAATAATGCGCTGAAATGTAACATCGAAATAACGATGAAAAGCGCTAAATTTTAATTTTAACAACAACATTTTAAAACTAAGTTTGTGTATAGACTGAAATAATAAATATATACTGAATCATAAATATTACACGACACCAGTCACAACCTTGCATTATTACCAACGATCAAACATAAGACGGTTGTCTTACCATTCCGATTAAAAGCATGATGTTTGCAGGTAATGAACATATTGGAAATCTGAAATATCGATAATCGAAAACGTGGAAATACGCCATTTTCACGCCTGCAATGGAGATGTTATCGAAGCCATTTGCAACTTATCGTAAAACACGCATTTGTCTGTCGTAAATTTTACACAGTATGTTTAGATTAAAAATGCAAGTAATTAGGTAAGGAATTAAAGGTGACAGAACATATGATTGTGGAACCAGCACTTAAACGATGCGCATGTTTGCTCGGCGCGTTGCGAGTTGTATTTCTTATTCCTTTCTTCGATATTTGGAGTTCAAATTAAAAGCTGGCAACAACATTACATTTTCCGTCCGTGTTGGGGCTTGTTACGTCACACGCACTACAGTTGCAGGCAAGATTACTGAATGGTGTAACGATGAACGTAGTTTAATTGCTGTGGTACTTACCAATTCCGTTAATCAGGATGCAGGGGAGGATGAGGTTGTAGACGTAGAACATGGGTCGTCTTCTGAGCCGGATCACGTACGTGATGTCGGGATAGGGCTCAGGGCAGCATGAGTAAAACTCAACGTGTCGGATCGCGTCGAAACTCACCAGGTCGAATTCACCGTTTGCCTGATAGTTGGTCACGTCACCGTCTTCGGTCTGCTTCACCAGGTCCAGCTGTGCGACAGGAAAAGGACTTGAGGTTACGGCGTGCTACCAAGCTTACTTCGGCGACAAAGAACAGGAGGAATTATGTTTTTGTTGTGTCACCTCCAGATATTATTAAACTAAAAACTATTTTGGTACTGGCAGTAATTGAAAAATTAAACCAAATCATACTCACAAATCCATAAATTCATACGGTACCCCAAACAATAAAAATAAAAATAACAAATGAACATCTTTAATAAGATCATAACGTAGCATTCACTTCCTAATGTATTTCCAGAAGCCACGATTTTATGAGCCTGGCGAATAATATTCAACCGTGACTCATGGGTAAACACCGGTACGTAGAATTTGTGGTTATCACGGCGATATAATGTGTCAGATCTGTCGTGCTTCAGCAGTGAGCATCTGTCAGACGGACAGAACAAATGGCAACGCCTGCAAATTCGCCTGACCTGGAGCACAGCCGTGTCAAAGAAGTTGCCGTAACACCGGGCGAAAGGAGAACTTGAGAGCAGTGTGGCAAGTTAAACATGCATTATTTCTTAGGTCTGACTTCATAGAGTCAGTTTATCAACAAGGCACTATAATATCCAGTACGAAGGAACACATAAAATCTACCGTAGGTTTCTCGGCCCCTACATTCCCTTATATTACTAAGAGTTTTATTATACTGTGAATACAGAAATACAGAATATGCTGCTGTTTCTAAAAAATATTACGTTTCAAGCATTATTTGCATAAACATTCTAAAATGAAAGCACAACAGGAAAGTCATATCTCTCCGTCCACCTATCAAAGCTCTGAAACTACTTGACGGGCTTCTATTAAATTTTATACAGAACGTTTAATATAAAAGTTATTTGGGCTAATTTAATTTTGGAGCGTACCAGTGACTTGTAAAACCTAATTTAGGGAGCCAAAATTACACTTTCAGCATATTCATCAATAATAACTTATCTTATAAAAGTAGGAACATAAATTAAGGGTTTCAAATTGCTTTCGTGTTGTTCTTGACTTTTATAATGAATTCGTAAAATCCTTAATTGCTTTCGTGTTGTTCTTGACTTTTGTAATGAATTCGTAAAAGCCTGGTGATTTATTGGCTTCAGACACCAAACATCATGGCGTTACGTGTGCTGGGTTAGGAAGGCGTCCAATCCAAATGAGATGGCGTCATAACGCGGAAGACCAAAATCGACATGTTCAATGTCTTGAGGAATAAACACGTCCTACTGAACATACAGACACAGCGCCAGATTGAAGTGACAGAAATGGGTTAAACCCGACATGCCCACACACATTTTTTCATTTTCCTATCTTCCTCCCTTTTTATGTCTCTTTTCCTAGGATAATATTTTAGCTAACCGAGAATCAAAGTAATGTGTTTTATGTAAAAAAACTTGTTCATGCCTTTGAAGCCGAAGCTCGTCTAAATAATATTTAAAGAATTCAGTCCGTACCGCAAAGAAAACACTACACTTCACCATTACAAAGATGAACTTGTTAACGCTGTTTATTACAAGAATCATACGGCACACACAAATACAAAATGAATAGTTATTGACTGCTGAAGTAGGTGGGGCATAATCCCCAGTGGGCTCTAGACAGGATAGATGGGCCGTAGGGACGTATGGAAGCCTCATGTCTGTCGCAACATATTTCAGTATTGGGATGACTGTGACACGTTTCTTATGGCAGATGTAATGTCTGTTTCGGAGTATAATATCTGCTTTCAAGTAAAATACATTACACGTGCTCAACTTTTAATTAGCCCTTTTTTGTGGGAGTTGCTATTGATAAGTTTGCTCGTTTCGTATTCCCACACAAAGTTTGCATGTGTTCACTGACGTCATACTAAATCCTTACTTGCTGTCCTCAGAAAGAGCGATTACTACAAAAAATCCCAGAAACCCTTCATGGACGAATGGACATGGAAGGGTCTTTGGAGCTATTGTGACGGGACCCATTCATTGCTGCTCGAATATCACGGGGTAAGTAATCCTTCGGTTGGTTAGCCGATATTCATAGGGAATCCTCGTCAAGGAGACTGCACGGAGTGGCCATTACATTTCGCCCCACTGTTTGTAGAACAAAGTGAACAACATTAAAGGGAATGCAGATTGTAAACAACAAAAGAACATAAACCACCCCCCAAGTTAAAAAAACGTCAAATCCTCTTCAGCCTAAGAACTGTTTATAAAAAAATGCTAATAAAACACGTTATTCCGTTTATTAATAACACAAAGAGCGAGTTTTATGTTTATACTCTGTATATTTATAAATAAATTATCGTATAATTATTCGTGTTTTTTTTCCGTCTAATCACAATTGTATATAAATATATAAAATTTATACATAAGATATTAAAATATCATTTACATATTTGGTACATCTTTTTACTACATGTTTCGGTTACATTGAACCATCTTCAGGTGTAAAGTTAAAAGTTAAAAATTATAATCTTATAAACTAAAACTTAATTACTGTTGTTGTGTAACTTCTTTAGTTTATAAGATTATAATTTTTAACTTTTAACTTTACACCTGAAGATGGTTCAATGTAACCGAAACATGTAGTAAAAAGATGTACAAAATATGTAAATGATATTTTAATATCTTATGTATAAATTTTATATATTTATATACAATTGTGATTAGACGGAAAAAAAAACACGAATAATTAAATTTTAATTCACAATATGACGCAATTATATCAACTTATAAATTATCGTAGTATACCTGTCAAATTAACGGCACTAACACGAGACTCTTGCATGAAATTGCATGTCGAACAGACTATATCGAAGGCAACTGCTAAATCATTAATGTAATTACTAGACATTAATTTTCTTTTACTTTTTTTCTTCATCAGGAACAGATTAAGTTAATAGACTGACCTAGATTACCGATTTTCCGAGTCGGCAGGATGCGTGAATTCAACACACGTGCTCCTGGAACTGTTGTACTAATCTTTAAGAGGTGTGCAATCTGCCTCTCCGATTAAATGACTTGTGATGACGCTATACGAACACATTTTCAAGATCAGCTACATATCAGAAGTTCTCAGAATTAAATTCAACTTAATGAAATAAATGAGCAACCTAGTAATTACTCCATAGAGCAGAGTCCTCCTTTAAAAGATGATAGTTACTCAGCCAGTCAAAAAGACTGTACCCGCCTTCTATGAAATCCACAGGCTCGCATTCGGGGACATCCTGAGTTGAAATATCGGACCGAAAACCGGATACTGTCACTGAGATCCCCTTTTGTTTTCCTAAGTCAGTTCAGGCCAATGCCGGGATGGGTCATCACTCATTCTTCCAACATCCTTCCCAATTACTCAATACGCGTCCTGTAATTTCACGCAGCAGTCCGCTCCACTGAAAACGTCGTTAAATAACCACAAATAAGTTTTATGTAAAAAGGAAAATAATACCATTGCCAGTCTTACGATACATTTTAATTATACAAGGCACAACATTTGAAAATAATAACTCTAGAATATCCACCAGCCTTTGATGGCTTATGACGACGGCTGGTTCGTCGTGAGTGGAGAAAAGAGGAATTCTTAGTGAGCACGGCCGGCTGGCTGCATCGAGACTTACATTTAGTTTCGTTTGCGATCAAAATTTCGATGACGTTAAGTTAGGGTACGGTACCTGATAATGGATTTTTCACAACAACCAATTTCCCCGTTGAATTCGAGTCTCTTCATGAACAGAAAACAGAAATCTGAAGGTAGCGGACTCAATGACTGTCTTCTGGGACGTTGTACAGTATAGTCTGTAGAAATAGACAAACGTTTCAGAGGTGCTTACTGCCTCCATCATCAGGACGATGATGATACACGGCGCAACATCCCAGAAGACAATCAACTAAACATCACACCAAAATTGAGTTTAGGGTGTGTGGAGGCAAAGTTCCATTCATTTTAGATTTAAGTCGGTTGTGAGGTTCGTCCTTTAGCTCGGATGTTAGGTTTGGTGAACCCCAGATAAAATACTGACGCGGTGGCGTAGAGAAAAATTCGTTTACCGTCGGAGTCAGACACCGGTCGTTTGACATAACTCAGCATCTTTAGTGCCTCATCTCTAACACCGGCTGGTGACACTGTGTGCCATCATCGTTGGGACGAACAGTAAATATGGATGATAAAAGATGTCATGTTAACGTAACACACATCACTGGTTTTTGTAAAAGATATTCTATGCAGTTCTATGAACCGTTGTAAAATTGAAGCGTAGGTCATAAATATACCGAATATTGAATAGAACAGGGATATAACTCTACCCCCCCCCCCCAGAATGTACAGAATGTCCCAAAAATATTTATACACATTATAATACGCAATATTAACCTAGTATATATACTTATTTTTAGAGCACGCCACACACGCATTTTTAGCACGAAACATAACGTGTTCAGAAAGATCTGTAAATTGTTGGATTTTTTATTTTTTATTATTTAGTGTTCTGTCTGACGACAGGTCCATATGAACAGGATCCTTCCATCCTTTTCTCGGACTGGGACCTGTTCATATACGTTCTTGGCAGATGATCCAGAAGTGGTTTGTCATTGCCTTCTTCTGTGTGTGAATGGAGTAATTGTTGGGATGCCACGAAGGAAAACTCCGTGTTGCCTAGACCACGGCCTTGCCCAACACAAGTTATAAATTTTAGCACCACCGGGAATTGAACCCGGGACCCCAGGATTACAAGGCTAGTGTGCTGACCGCTAGACCACCGTGGCGGTAAATTGTTGGATATATAAAATGATTTCATGTGTGTCCGTGAATTTATTTTGCCTTCGGATGCTACTATTGACAAGACTAAAATTTAGAATCCTATACGAACTAGTGTCGTAATACTAGGAAATTAATTTTAATTGATTTTCGGAAAAAAAGTTAAGAATAACATATGGTTTTGTTACGTCTGTCCGTCTCTGTATTCGTATGTAACAAATCCCGAACTACACGACCGATTTAAATTAAATTATGTATGGGAGACCTACACTAAACAGGCTACTGTCAAGCTACTTCGATTTTAAATTATCTGGTTAACTTCAATGGCCTAAATGAACTTTAGGCAGACAGATTTAGATGGAATTCGATATATGGCACTTATACAAGCTTTATCGACGACCAACATCGACATATTCACCGACATGAGGTAATGAACATTCAGATTCTACAAAAGACGTAGAATGTCTTGTCCAGATTGAGCTCCTAAATAAATGCCCTGCTCCACGGGGGTTAGTGGTTATTTTCACCGTACCTGGTAGCCGTCGTACGTCCAAGAAGCCCATTTCATGTTACAGCTCTGCACGTCGAAGGGGAAGTACTCGACATTGATGTCGCAGGAGCTCCTGAAGATTCCGTGGCTTAGCCAGACCACCTCCCCCGTGTACGTCACGATGACGTTTGTGTTGATCACGGCTGAGTTGTACTGAGAATCCGCGCTGTAACACATCCCGAAGGACGGAGGAGTTGATTACCGACTTCCAGCTGATAACGAGTAATACATTTTAAATAATAACCTAATAAAAATTTCCAGTTTTACATTTTCATTTTGGATAATTTTTACGTTAAAGACTACGTTTAAAACGCATGGCACTCAAATTACTGTCCGGGGTCGCGACCCATTAGTTGATAAATAATTTCCCACGATATTAACACTAATTTTCATTAATGTTTTCGGTTTGCACTGTTCTTGAATTAGCATCACTACAAAACTTCAACGAACGAGAATAATTTCATTTGTGATTGATTTAACGCTAAGGGTATGAAAGGAAGCGCTCGTGGCCTATTTTAAGACACCATTTCGTCATCTGCCTGGAGGGATTGAGGAAAATCTCGAAACTCAGTCGGTGTTGATGTGACCTCAAGATTCACTGCCGTGAAAAATTACCGTAATAGATTATTGTATTCGAATCGATGGTATCTGAGCGTTCGAGGGAATAATTTTTCTTACTCACTTGCCAGTTGCATGCTTTAAAGCTTCTGTCGGCAACCTAAAGCTAACGGTTCGCATGTGGCCCTCGCAATGTTTCTATATGGTCCGTCACATGATTTAGGAATGAGCCAATAGGAGAAGGGAAACAATTTTCTGCTATTGAGGAGAACGATATTTCAATATGCAGTCACTTATCAATGCGTAAAGGCAAAACATTGCAAAAAAAATTCATTTAAAAACTGTGTAGATGAAGACTTACAACGTCATAAGAGGGAAATTTCGGTAAAGGTACATTCCTCCGTTGTTCAAACCGTGTGAACACGGTAGGCAAGGAAGGGGACAGCGGTTAAGTTTAGCGAGCAGGACTCTGACAATCCAAAAAGGAAAATATTTTACTGAAACAAGTTTAAAAACTTTTGTCGGAAATGAATAAACTATGATTTTCACTTTGGTAACTCCTGTCAAACGCAGACTGATTGGTGGTGTTTATATGACAAGTTAATAAATGTAATGCGGTGAATAAAACACGTCTGTTTCAAAGTTTACCGAGAGGTACGCAAATTCCATGGTCTTTTTTAGGTCGGCAGTTGAGCACAATTGATAAACGAGTCATTTGACATTATCATTTCAACGTACTTCCATTACCAAGAAACAATTCACAAGCGCTATATATGGCATGGGGTTATAAACACTGCTTCATATAAAAGTTGCCTTCCAGTTGATGGATACTTAACCTTGTCCCCGATTGCGAAGTGTAAATATTGAATCTTGTGCAGCGCTGTTTGCGGAAGATGTATCAACAGTTGATTGTGTATCGATAAGGAAGTAGAGGGGTCGAATCGTTGAATAAACACTTATTGCGACTACAATCGATTATTAAGGCACTCACCCAAACCCAATAATCTGCATGCGATTTCCTCAAAGAATTACAAAAAGTGTTTAAGAGGTTCTCCAGTCAAGTTCATGCACTTCACAAACGCGTTATTTCTTATTTTGAATATAGCCTTGGATTTAGTGTTCATTTATTACGAATATAAATCTACCGTCGCAAAGCAAACACCACTACACACATCATAATATGCAGACACCGATATATTTCTCTTAAGTTTCAACATTCGTAACATGGAATAATGAATTCTGGGTAGAAATCTTAAAGCCTACTTTGCTATTGCACAGATACGTCTAGCAATGCATATATAATTTCAAGCCCTGATATTAAATGGCGCTAGTGTGGTCCCCCTCGTAAGTACGCGCGTCCGCCAATATGTCCCAGCCAGTTGTTAGCTTTCCTTCGTGTAATCGCCTGCAGAATGTTTCTTTGCTCGTTGACTCTCCTCAATACTTCTTCGTTGGTCACTCGATCCGTCCACCTGATCTTCTCTATTCTTCTCCAACACCACATTTCAAAACTCTCCAGGTATTTCTGTTCCTTCTTCCTGAGTGTCCAAGTCTCTGCTCCATACAGCGCGACACTCCATACGTAACACTTCACTAGTTTCTTCTCCGCCATGTTATAAACGATTATATGTTATTAAAAAGTTTTACAATGACGTACTAATGTTCATATAAAGTTTTCCGAAAATCTGTCAAATAATTTAAAAATAGAATGGGGGAATACACACAGCATGTCCATTCAATGTTTCTTTCTTTCAAAAAAGAAAAGTAGGCAAACACGTTTCAAATAAAAGTCATAGATACACTTTCAGAGCCTACGGGACAGGATGCATTTCACAAGGACTGATGTACGTACGCCTACCCATAGCATTTGATAAACGTCGGTGAAGGAAAAGTAATTTTATAGCTGAAAGTCTTTAAGTCTTGAGTCCCTAGCGAGACGACATCCAGCATGTTCTAGTCGCGAGGGCACATATCGGGCTGTAGGCGATACCTTTTTCTATTATTCACACTTCCTTGAAATTTATAGTCCAAAGCGATGGACCTTCATCCCTCGGCGACTCCCAACCAGAAACGAGACGAAAAAGGAACAAAAACATTGACGAATCATAACAGAAATGGAGGATGATGACGAAGCAAAGGAAATGAAATCAAGCAAAAAGGAATATATAAGGACGACTAACTTGATTTCGAACTTCGTGATAAAGTTTTTACAAGAAGAAGAATAATTTTAAAAGATGCTCAAGTAGTTTTGAAGTTGAGGAAGCAGAAGTACGTTCTTTTTAATTTCGGAATAAGAAAAGGCAAATATGCCAAGAGCTTATCTTGATAATATTTAATTAGATTATAGGAAAATTTCACCAAGTTTTATTCTATAACCCACGTTCTTTGCAAAGCGTACATGAAATGAATGCAGAACGGTTGTTTGAGGAAAGTCTTCGGGAGAATTTAATTTTAATCCGCGTGGATAAAATATAATTCTTACTGTACACGAAGCTCAACCTAAATTTAACACAACCTCCTCACAAAAGATTCATGAGTATAAAACTGTATATGGTCCAGCTGTCGGTAATGCGAACATCTGTGCAATTAGCACAGTCGTGTCTGAAACCTAACAACCGAAAAGTGACGTTCATTCTTTTTCTCTCCGTTTCTACATAAGCTCATAAAGTCTATAGGTTAAGTGATTATGTACTTTTACAAAGCTTTTCCCAGCACTGTGTTAAAAAATAAAAGTAACTAGTTTCTCTGCAACTTTGAAGTGAAATTCCTCGTTACTGTGTAATTATAATTTCATGGGAGCATTTAGTACAGACCGTATAATCAGAAAAATATATTTATATAAATAATTTTGCAGTCCTAAAACCATGTAAACTACGTATAATTACAGGTCTACGCGACTATAAAGCATTCCTTTCTAAGATTAATATTCTGAACAGCATTCATTTAAAACTAAACTGTTGATTGGTTGAGAGATTCTTGTTCAATGTAGTGCAAGTTACCGGTGAAGGCAATTTTCTTCCAGTATTTTAATTTACAGAGTGAGAATGAATGACTAACCCCATGGAGCACAGTTTTCCTTTACAAGCTTATAATCGCTTAGCTAGTCAAGAAATTCCCCGTATTTTATGGAACCAAAATGTTCATTACCGTGTTCGCAAGAGCTTTAACAACAAAGACTTTTGAATTTTGCTTACAGAATGTATTTAAGGGCTTCGTAAGAATTTTCAGAATAAGCAATGAATATTTCCCTGAGTAATATTAATCAATGTTGCCTTTATTACAACTATTGTTTAACAAGACTCAGTAATTTATTGAAACTTGCAACAACTGTACAATCGACAGATAATGGATCCTATTAGAAGACAATGATGTACCAGACACGAGAGAATTGAAGACAATAAATGCCGGGAAACTTTCGTCTCTTAATAAAAGAACATTTTGCAGAGAACGACGTTACTACAAGAGCCGATAGAAGAAGTAATGTTCTTACAATTCACTATGAAAGCGGAAAACTTCCACATAAGATTTTTTACCAATGCGATGATGAAATTGTCTTCTTTGTTAAAATGTTTCCCAGAAATTTAAACAAAATGAGATATAATTCGAAAGACATGTAAAACTTCCTGATTCTTTCTTACTAAAAGCAATCTTGAAACTTCGTCAACAAATAATAGATTTTCTATTCGATATCGAGCTCGTCTTTTCCTTAAAATGACTCGGCTTCTCTTACTCTTGAACGGTTTAATATCATCATATTTACACATTCTCATGCGAGCAATTTAATGAAGACTTTCATAAGACTCTACACGTGCCTATTTTATCAGACGCCATCTTCCTCTCCTTCATCCATACTTCATTAAAGACAACAACACAAAAATGACGACCCCGCAAACTTCAGAGGTGGGCGCGACAGTTGAAGCATCGACTTCTGAAGCCAGGAATCTAAAATTTAGTATTTGAAAATACTGGGTAAAGTACCCGTTCGTAAGATACATTTTTATTTAAACAATCTGTACTTAAATAATTAAATTATTTTGTAAATAACGTGCAGGCCTATAATGCATTTAATCATTGTAGCAAAGATGGGTTTTTTAGATAACCATTCTACACGTACGTTTAATGCACTTGTTACCAAAAACAACAAAACACCAACATGTTTCCTTGTCTGTCCAATCATCACTCATTTCTCTCTCTTCGCGTGTTTCATTTATTTTGTCTATGTCGACGGTCGGAAATTACGATAATTATTTCCCATTTGAAACAATTATGCTGCAGCTAAATGCAATTCTTGTCAATTTACCAACTCCTGCTTCAAAGAAGTGCCCAGAACTTTATAAAACTAACTGTGCAAGTTTTAAAAACTACACTCCACTAAATTATGCGTAACTTTTGACTATTTTGTGTAAGAGTCAAGAATGATAACCCTTCCTCTCGGCTGTGATTGGTAAAAAGGCGCAGAATATAACGGATACAGGAGAGGTTACCGCACTAATTTATTGTAATAAAATTTTCATTAATAAAATCCAAATTCTGACGATGTAGACGATTTTGAGGCGTTGACAATTCTTAGATGAAAGAGCCAGACGCAGAACTCGGGATTAATTCCGAACTGTGCCGCCCTTTACCATCTGGACTCACTTGTTGTACAGGACTGTGTCCGGCCTCCAGACCCTCTGGTAAGGTAACCTGATGACCCTTATTCCTGCGAAATCTGACGCGTTCCACTTGAGGTGATGATCGGTCCAAATCTGTGTCAGCCAGCAATTTGTCGTCAGGATCTGATTCTTCTCGTCCTGACAAAATAAGAGAACGTCTCAGTCCCAGAACTAAGAGGAGAAATGTACATAACACGTTTGTTTTTAGCTTTAAAAAAATTTGGAACAATAAAATTCACACACTTCTTCAATTATTATTATTATTATTAGAATAATAAAATAAAGGATAAGATTGGTGGGGTATGTAGCACGCACGGAAACATAACATTTTAAAAATAGGTACAATAATTTTGGTATGAAAGCCTGAAGGGAAGAGATGAGAGGATAATATTAAGATGGATGGGATGTGTGGACTCGATATATCTGTCTCACGATAGGGACCTGTGGTGGACTCATATGAAAGCGATAAGGAACGTTCTGGATCTATATGAGACCTGAAATTTATTGACTTACTCAGTGGCTTGACTTTATTCTAAGGGAGTTATTTGAATGAAGTTATTTTACGACGGCAGTGATGTTTCATAATAAGGTGCTGAGGGGAATATTTTGATCCTAATAAAAGAAAATGACTATAATGAGAGAGAATTGCATGGTCTATAATCTTCACCAAATATTAAGGTTATCAACTCAAGTAGGATTAGATAAATGGGGCACACGGGAGCCGAGATTCATTTCAGTCAGAAGACCTCAGAGGAGGAAATCGCTTTGGAAGACAATTTCACACAGGAAGATGATATTAAAATGGATTTTATAGAAGTAGCGTGAAACTGTGAACGCGTCTGTGAATTCCTGTCTTCGACAATATTAATAATTCCTGACCAGATGAACAACTAACTTTAGACTATAAGATAGGTTCCGCACCGCTGAGTTAATCCATCAGACGGCTGACAACATTTAACTTTTTTTTTTCAAAGTAGCTGGTAAAAAGAACAAATGATTCAACAACGTCACACTCTGTTCAGCTTGTCAAAATTTTGCGAAGAATATATTAAAACAGCAAAGAACGACAAAGCTATTAATCGTTGTTATACATAATCCAGGAATACAAAGCTGTAGATCCCTGTCTCTGTGTTTAGCATCTGCATGCCACGCCATTAAAATGAAGCACGGCGTATAAAAGTCATTAGACAATATATATAAGAAGACTAATAACCGAGTCTGGAACCATCGCTCATGTTCAGGACGTGTTGAATCGAGACTGTCACATAGCCACCAGCCGAAAACTGAATACATCAGAGGATTCTCGTCACAGATTATGCCCACATTCCAGCAGTTGCAAGCAAGTAACGAGAGAAAAGGTTAGGTTAGGTTAGGTTAGGTTAGGTTAGCACGCATAGCATTCACCACAGAGGGACATACCTGACGCGTTCTGATTTCACCAGGGATAAGTACACTAATGATTGAACTAACAAAGGCGGGGAGGGGAGGGGTAGTTGCTCTATAGCACTGTCACGTGATGACAGTTGAACTAACCAAGATCAATTGCGATTTGTTAACTAAACTGATTGCTTCCTCTCGTGAATGCGCCGTCTAAATAGCTCTGTTTAGGTACGCGTTGTTAAGAGTTACGACAATGAAATGTAAACGTTTGGAAGGGAAAATCGAGTTTCGATAAACAGTGTGAGATAATGTAATAATATTTTGATGATGATAAGATATGTTGCGACATACTATTAAAATTCATGAAAAATTCGAGGGAAAACTATTTCGCAATATGCAGTGGCGTAGTTTTGTCACTTTCCACGCAAAAAATGTTAGTTCAACCGCCTTCTTATTTGATTCGAACTTTAGTTTAATTAGCGAAAGAACAAGATCAACCAAGCTTATAGATGGTACACAGTACAAAATTATTTCATTCCATATTCCACTGAACTGTCATTCAGCATTGTAGGCACAAGTTTTTCGATTACACCCATCATTAATAATAATTATTATTTTATATCTTTATTTTCAATAATTTACTTGCTAAATTACGTGACTAATGCAGAGAGGTAAAACAGCTTTCAACAAACTTCTCAAACTCGGGTTATTAAAATTGTTAGGATTTCATTATAAAATTCATTAACTTTCACTTTACTTTTATCATTCTACTTTTACAATAGGCCAGCCTTTCTTTTATGCACGGAACGGATTGTTTCTGATCTAGAATGTCGTAGTAATTACTTTTCGACGTACAGGCTTCCGTTTACATTAACTACTGTCAGAATTTTGACTGAGAGAAAAACATTTGTTTCGTAGTTCAAATCGCTCTATTAATGCAACGCACGAATCTGTTAACACTGAGATGACCGTCTTCTGGGTTGTAGCTCCGTGTAGTCTGGTAGAAGTTTACCGACGTTTCAGAGGCCCTGCATCCATCATCAGGGCTCATCGACCTCTGAAACCTAAGCAATTCCTACCATGTCTACCACAATGCGTTCAACAGTGTATCAGATTCACAATAATTTTAAAGCGAGTAGGGTTTTATTTTAGTAATTAATGGAAGTTAAAGAAAGACTAGTCTAGTTTCATATTACATATCGAAGGAATATTATATTCTCACTTCCCACAATCTGAAATGTTTCTCTTAATATTATAAGTAAGTATAAAACTTTGGAGAAAGCCAACGTGTCATAGTTATGGCACACCCACAGGAAACTGGCAGAAAACAGAGCCGATACTGCAAACGAAGCAATCGCTACTCGTTAGGCAGTTGTTTAAGATCAATAACTCACAGAGTTTGTCAAATCGGACGCTGGCAGACTGCAAAGCTTTACTTATCGTCACATCGCTATTGTAACATACGTAACTAGTGAATCTGTAACAAAACTCTCAAAGGACGTCCTCTGGAAATTAGGATTTTGATTAAAAGTGATGCAAATATCAGGAAACATCAAAGTTTGCCAGGAAATGATAACGCAGAAGCACAATAAGAATATTACAACGGAATCCAGCAAAGAAAAGAGTACAAGAAAAATGAAAATGAAACGAGAAATAACACAGAGTCAAAAGAGAAGCATTATTGGTTGGCAAAAGTGCTGGATAAATTTTTGTAATATGGAGACTGTCCGCATGGACAAAATGTGTTTTGGAGCCTGTAGTCTACAAAAGAATGGGCAGCTCAGGAAGAAGAATAAGACCAATTTTAATTTTATACTATAAAAGAAAAGAAAGAATCCATATCGCTGCTTAATCTGTCATCCCGTGGACTGCTCTACCAGTCAAGATCTGTGCCTGGGCCGAACTGAACTGCTGGATTTATTATATTGAAAATAACATCCATATAAGGCTGGCCACGTGGTCTTGTAGGGAGATACCAACGTTTCAGGGTAACCCTGAAGATGGAGACAGTATGTTTCTCCGAAACGCTGGTACCTACCTACAATTCCACAAGGCTTTAACACCCAGAAGACTAACATTAACATCTTAACCGTCGTCAGAACTTTCAACAAACTGAAGCTAATAATTAAATCAAAATTATATTTATAATCATTCAGTCGTCACATTCACTGATTTCCATGAGATACGAGGTGCGATCGGAAAGTTTCAAGACTGCGCCTATTCTGCGATTCTGTCTGAATCTCTTCTATCGTCTCAAATCTCCTTCCCTTTAGCTGAATTTTCATCTTTGGGAAGAGGAAGAAGTCACGCGGAGCTTAGAAAGGAAGTTGGGGTCGGTTCTTGCAAGATCTTTGAGCTCCTGACAAACGAGAAGTCAATTCTGCTTCTGGTGCTCAGACAGGAGCCTTGGCACAAACTTGGCTGCGATGCGTCGCATGTGGAGTTCTTCCTTTAGAATCAGCTGACAGGTCCCAACAATGTCGCACAAGTCGTTGATGGTACGACGTCGCTCTTCGTGAATGGCCTGCCGAATCTTGGTAACATTTTCGGGCGTTGTGCTCGAAGATGGTCGTCCAGAACGCTCGTCATCATCGACAGAGGTTCGGCCGGCCCTTTTTAAAACGTGAATGCCACACAAAAGTTTGCGGACTCCCCAAATGTTTGCTTTAGCATTTCATAGGTTTCCTTAGCCGTTTTGGCGAGTCTTTGGCAAAATTTGATGCACACGCCATTCCGAAATCGCAGGAGGGTCGGTGTAATGCACTACCAAAACGCCCGTAACTAAGAAACAAATGCTAATTCGATGATGCCGGCTGGCACACTGATTCACTATGAATGTAGGCCGCACCCCCTAGCGGCAGAAGCTCGTACTACATCCGGTTCGCCCTCTATTGACACAGTCTTGAAACTTTCCGATCGCACCTCGTACTAGAAATCAGGCTACTTACAACATCTATGATGTGATGCAACGAGATCCCAAACACAACTTTGAGCGGCTCTGATGAATTCTCGGCAGGACGAACTGACGGATCGTAATTCGCCATAAGATAGCGCGTCAGTCTGTATTCCTGCTCGTCTCCTAACACTGGAACAGAGATTTGAGTCCCACAGTTAAACACGCTCATGTTGAAGTCACCGGCTGCACCTTCGGGTGAAATGGCGAGACGCCTAGATGGCCGGATGTGGTAAAGCGAGCAGATGTCTCCGGTATTTTTACCTCAGGAAAATAGTGATTTTTAAGACTTTTTAAGAAGACATTCAACAAACAACGGATAAGGCCTAAAACGAAGAAAGCATTGATGGAATACCTTCACCAAAGACATTCAGGATAAACCTCTACCAATGATTAAAATGGATAAGGTATTCGAACTTATACCTCAGTTTACTGAACGCAAGACCAACTATGTGAACAGGTAGTTGGTTGATTCGGGGGTTTTACATTAACGACGAACGACTGTACTACTTGAATCATGTTTCAATTTGTGGGATGTTCAAACTAAGGCGGATTTGTACAGCTTTGTTGAACAGGAGAGCATTGAAGCGTTCAGTGTGCTGAGCTACAGCAAACTCGATGAAAGTGCACACTGTGTCTGTCTGCCCTTCCCTGTTTTTAGGAACTTAATCAAGTTCTTTGTTTCCATCACCCCAATGCCTGTCCAATCCCAATCATCCGTCCTTAACGTAACAAGTGGATACTTGGCTCTCCATAAACTAATGGAATTGTTCGTGTTTAATCGCTTGAAGCCGAAGCTCGTCTAAATAAGTAATACTTAAAAATTCAATCCGTATTGGAAAGACAACACGCCACCATTACAAGGACCACCTGATTGATATTGTTTAGGGAAGTAATCGCTGTTTATTCTAATGATCAAACAAAACACATAAATATACTCTGAGGACAAAATTCAAAGCTTTCTCGTTCTTTTACTCAATCCTTCCAGGCAAATTCTGGGATAGTACCTTAAATTGTACCACGACCACTTCATTCAACCTCTGCAATGGGTACCGGGGTCCTTTCCCGGGGGTAAAGCCGGCCGGGGCGTGATGCTGACCACTCACCCCCATCTAGTGCCGAGGTCAAGGAAGAGAGGAGCTATACCTCCACTCCCCCCAAGCGCCTACATGGCGTATAGTGGGACAAACTTTACTTTACTTATTGTTCGATAATATAAAGTCTGAGCTACAGATTACGTTGGTAAATAAATAATGATTAATTAAATTAATTTTGATTTTAGACGGAATAGGAAAATAATGGTCACTTCCGTACATTAAATTACATACGTGTACAAACGAACAGGTAGTCGAGTGAGGAAACCATGGGAGGCATTCAACTGTGTTTATGACATACAAAATTATCTTAAGGCAATCTGATGAGAATAACAATCACCTAGATCTATGTGAGATTCGAGAACCACCTACAAGACTGCACGGTATCATAATACATAATACCACAATCTGTCAACACGCGTGCTGAGGGCAAGGGCTATCTCAAGCACAGATTTGCGGATTCAAATACTTTTTCCTTCTGTTTGAAATCTACCGTCATTTAACGGTATGGAATCAGGGAATATCTAAAACTGAAGGCGGCGAAGCGTGAAACTGACCACATCACCCATGGCACGTCGTTAACACGGTACAGTTGCTGATGAACTCATTCGCAGAAACATTCTGGTTTCGCGTCTCTCAACACCCACAGGCATACTTCGACGCTTTCTGGTCGTCTGAGCGTATTGGTTCCATTACACACGAAAGACGGCTGTGATATATCTCTGGGTAAAGTCTAAATAATTTATTTAACGACGCTGAAAGTAGCTTAGACTATGTGGCATCGACTGAGTGTGAATAAAATGGAAGTAATCGTGGCGCACTTTAAGGCAGTGCCAGTATTTTTCTGGAGGGATTAAGAAAAACCACGAAAAACTTTAGCCATTGTAACCGATATCCGGGCTAATATTTAGATATTTGATCCTGGGTTCCCTCTAATATGAAATATAAGTACTTAAAATAAGGGGTTTCAGGAATGTGGGTAGGACCCATTTGTCTCAAGATCGGTTTCAGTGGTGGGCTCCTATGATCTCAATCATGAATCTTCGAGTTCAGAAGGCAGGTAATTTCTAGATCCATACAGAAACTATCAGATCTTTGATCCATGCAGTTCTGAAAGCCTTGTCACACGACTCCACATCGTGATATGCCCAAAACCGATGACTTTAACTCTTTGGGACCTGAGGTTCATCTAGATAGTATTTAATAATTCTGTCCGCACCGCAAAGAAAACACAATACTTCACCATTACAAAGATCAACAGGTTCACGTTGTTTAAGGAAATAATAAATTTTTATTACTAAAACTATACGAAACACATAAATCCAGGTTCACGCTGTTTAAGGAAATAATCAATTTTTATTACAAAAATTATACGAAACACATAAATATGTTTAAAATTAATGGTTACTAACTGATATTACAGGTGGGATATGTATTTACCTATGGACTTTAAATATTTAGAAAGGCTCAGAAATAATTGTTTTCACTAACACTTCTTGAGAGAAATGAAACAGCATCTCACATTTCTGCGAGGCCATGGCTGTTCATGTTTTATGATGATTTAAAGCAAAGACACGAAAAAGCCATACTTCAGAATCACACTATAGCCTATGCAGATGTGAATACAGAATACATTATTGCTGTTGATGATACCCATTCCATTTCAAAGGAGCTTCTTGCAAGTTCAATCTTACAAATACTCTTGGCGGAAGCTGCTTTGTGATACACGAATGGAAATAACGTCCGTCTGGGAATGAATGCACTCAACTCAGATCGAAGAAAAGAGACTGTGATAGAAAGGCTTTCGAAAATCATGAAACATCTAACTTGTAGTCGCTCAGTCTTAGTCCACGTGGCATATCTTTTGAAATGTTTACACACTGCTGGCGTTATAAGAGAGAAAAGAAATTAGCAAGGGAGTTCAACTTCTGAAATGTCTGAGACGTCCTTAATCAGTCAGGTGCCGCGAAGTGTATCTGTTACAAGCTTATGGAACTTTCAAACGTGTATAGAATCCTATCGGCTTAATAGCTTAAACTTCGTAATTGTTTATTGTCAAAATTGCAATTTTGAACACCCGTACTGAAATTAGAACTGAGTGTTATTTTACAAGATTCTGATAACGTTTCTTGGATAATACATGTAAAGACCCAAATGGCTTATTTTAAACATAACATTTAACTTTTTGTTAGTTTGTAGCCATTTTACAGGGCATATTATCAATATTAAGACTGTAAACGAAGTTAAGTCTTCCAAATAATCATCTGAAATTTAGGCTACACAGTCAATTTACATGTTTGTCTGAGGCGATATTTTACTTGGATGCCTTACAAAAATAATCAAATTTGTGTTTATTAAGTGCACTGACCCGTGTATTTTTTTCTACGTAATTTTTCATTCCGCCCACATTATGTAAGTTCATAGCAACGCTCTGTATACCACCGATTAAATAGCCTCGGGCCCCAAAATTTAAATTTTCATGAACATCTCGATTTTATAGCTATTATAATACACTCACTGCCTATAACGTATGAACAAAGGCCCTTTTATTATTAATACCCTAAATACGTCGCGGTCTGGACTGAACGTTTTCATGGCCCATAGTTTGTTAATCCCTTATCTTGAACGTAATTTACACTACAATACTAGTGTAAGACACTGACTTTCACACTCATAAGAAACAGGTACAATAGTTCGTAATTTTGAACATTTTAACCAAACGGCTTTCAGATAAGAGATCGGAGGATAAACACAGATCCCAAATAACCTAAATAACTGATAAGACCCCGTGAAACATTTCGTAACATTCTAATTATGCCGGAAGCGGGCTCTTGTTAGCATGGTAATGAACCTACGGATGTCATTAAAAAACGGGGAACATTTTGACTAGCTGGATGTACTACACAATTCTCAAGAAAGACAGTACTCCATGGAGTCAGTTGTTACGACACGAACATATTAACGATTTATTACGACTAAAGAATGTGTTACATCAATATCGCTGTTTTTTTCTGGAATTGATCTATCGTTAGTTATTCTAGAATAAGATTAAAACGTTTCGGGAGCTAGCTTTGCTCCCATCTTCAGGTGAAAATACGTAATCCTAATCCCTGGACCGGGGTCCAGGGATTTTCACCATAAGAGATCACAGTCAGGTCGCAAAACGTAGTGTTATTGTTTTAAAATGTGGAACGATGGATCAGGCCCAGAACAACAGCGACACAGAATGCAGATAAATTTAATTAAGGATGGAGAGCGAGCAATGTACAAGCGAATAAGTTGTTAATATCTCTAGCGATGGTCGTGACTATCAGCGTATTGATATGTGGGTGCAAACTGATTACTCAGAACAAGTCTGATGCTGTCTCATAGCGGAACAGCAGAAAGTCATTTCATTCGGCTTCTGAACACGTTGACAAGCCAATATCCAGAGCAGTGGACCCATTTATGGTCTTGGGCCGTAGATTATCAACACGGTGAACTAATTACAGAGATTAGATTGGGTGCTTCTATAGTGAACTTAATTTCCGACAGAGACCTGGAATGTTTCCACCCGGACGAACATGAACTCAACTTAATACATTCACTAAGAAATTAAGAGACAATTAAATTCGAGGCATTTTTGCTTATATTCGGTCCAGAAAACGTTGAATTCCAGTCTGCTATCAAAATGCGTAAAGATTAAATGCAAAAGCATGATTTGAAAGTTCTGCCCCTCCGATCAACTTGCCTTTTACCAAAAACGACACGACGAAGGATTGCATTTAGAATATTACATTTAAATTTATATCGATTATACACCTGAAGATGGTTCATTGAAAACCGAAACATGTCATGAAAATGATGATGCTCTAATTGTAAATAGAACATTTCGATAGAAAGAGCATCATTTTAATATATATTTTAATATATTTTAAATATTTTAAATATTAAATGTTAATTATAGTAATAATATTTTAATATTTAATAAAATATTTTATTGTGATTAGATGGTTAAAATAAACAATCATGATTTGTAAACTAAATTTACTGAATTTTAAAATTTATCTTTCAATTTCTTAGGCCAACAGCTAAGAACTGCGATTTTAACTTGAAATCGATTTACATTTTATGGTCAATAACGAAACAATTTCTAAAAGTATTCCTTACATAGCTCATCTTAAAGTCAGAATGAAAGGGGCAATAATTTTTTTTTTCCCCCCCCCCCCCCCTTAGAAGTACCGTATCATCTGCTTACCCCATCACTATATATGATTTTGTAACTAGAAAAAGAAGAGAGACAAGTATTGAACGCTGGCAGTTTCTAACAGACAGCGTCTCCATATCTGTCCGTCAAACTTTTAACGAGATCCACAAACTCGGCAAGACATGTGAGAAAAATCTCTGGTGTGAGGAGGAACGTTTTGAAAACACGAGAGTTGACACTGATGGAACACGAATTCATACACGAACATTATTACATCCTGAAATGTTATATTATCACATTTTTCCTCAAAAAAACACTCATTTTTCACAGTTCACCTCCCCCCCCTACCAACACGTCTGTGTGTCGTAACTCTCATGACAGTTCTAAAGCCACAGACGAAACTAAAATGCCACGAAGATGATAAGTGTATCTTCGAGTTCACAGATATGAATAATGTTTCTATTTTCTCCTAGCTCTGCTCGCTTCAATCAACAAGATGGAGGTAGTATGTTCCTTCGAAACGTTGGTATGTACCTACCTAGAAATCCACGTGGCGTTACTACCCAGAAGACCAACATCGACATCTTCACCGCCGTCAGAACTTCAGCTCTCACAAGAAATTCATTTCCTTTCATAAATTTTTAGTCTGTTCTGCCTTATCACGAGCCAACAGAGCCCTATTCAAGGCCTTAATAAGTACTCCAATCTATTTAAGATTCATCCTCTTTAAGATTATGTCTCTATAGTGGTCCATTTACTTCACGTTTTTGACTAAAATTGCATAATTTTCATCATCCAATTTATAATTTTTCAGACGTTGTCAAATTCGCCAAAGAAACTGATAAAAATACCTCTATATTTCAGTACAATAATTAAAAGATGCCAGCATTTTCATGATGATTCATTTTACTTACTAAGAAAGCGTTAAGTCATGACGTGTACTCCTTTGAAGCGGTTGACTGTTAACAGAAATCGCGGTTTGAATCTTTCGCCGCGTAAAATTTCATTCTGCCCGCCTTTTAGTTTTATCAAAAAGAACTTTCATCCTAAGTACAACCAGACGCTGAACACCCAGTGTTGCCTTGTGTAATATAAACAAAATTAATATAACCTAATACTGGTTTTTAATTTTTTAAGCCAAGAACGTAAATTAAATTTGAATCATCCAGAAAGCAACGCGCAATACATTTTAAATTAAACAGAAACTTTTAAACTGCTACCATTTCAAAGAACAATTACACACTAAGTAGAAAGGACTTTTTCTGCAGGAAAAAATGAGACGATTTTCTGAGAAAATGGATGAGATTAGGATTACTTTCACACTGGAGATCCGGGATTGAAGTACAGATTCTGTTCTTTGTTGTTCCTTGCATTTAAATAAATTTCTCGCGGATACCATTGACCTAAATTCTATTATCCTTATGTACCATGACGTAATTAATACTCCAACATGAACTTCGCCACGAATATTGTTATATCTGGCTATTATTTCAAAACATGTCACTTTAGATGTCCCGTGAGAAGCAAAAGAATTATTATATTACATTATATTCTTTTATATTAAATTATAAATATGCCCAGTCTTCAAACCTATCATGCTATTGTTCACACTGGATGAACGATAAGAGGAGAGTACCAGCAATTTATTTTCTACTGGCGAGGAAGATGCTAGAGTCTGATACAGTAAAAACGTCACAAAATCGAATAAAAAACATAAACTACATGCAGACTGACAAGAGAATAGCCCACCATTTCAAAATTGCGCTTTTCTTAATATTCATGAATATGTTTTACTATTTCACATTTCCCCGTCATTTTTAACGGGTCATTTATTGTAATAAATGTAAATATCTTACGACAAAACATATATCTTTACGGATTACAGGCCTAACTCTGTTTGAAATACTTAATTTATTTTTATTATATATACCTAAGTGCATTTAGACCTTCGTATAAAAATACCCACGCAGAAATTGACATTCTGTCGCTTTTTCCCGCCTTTCACGGAAATGGAAAATTTGCCGCCATATTCACAAGATTCCACCAGCGGACTCGATCTTGAGCCAGATGAATCCAGGCGACAACCTTATACCGCATTTCTTTAAGCTACACTTTAATATTATCCTATCTACGTTAAGGTTTTAAAAAGTAAATTTTACAGCAGCCCTTTATTTTCAGCCCACGACGTCCAGTTTGAAACAAAATAAATTCTGAAGCGCACCTTTAAGTGAGAAAATTAATTAAAATGTTACACAGAACTAGTTTTTACAAAAAATTATAGAAACAAAAACTTTGTATAAAATGTATGTACCGTGTTTAATTTTCTGAATGTTTAAAACCGGAAAACTTGCGAGGTAATTTCGGTTACTTAAGAAACACGTTCTTTTATTTTGATATTTTGTGATTAATTAGAAGATAGATTGAAAATCTTTCCCGTCAAAAACAATTTGTAGAATTCCTGATCAATGTAACAGACGTAATTAAAACCTATGGCTCTGAACCCTTATGAGAAACAAGGAACATACCAACATAAAACTTAAATAAGACGGAACAACCTTTAAAAAAAGATAAACATCGAAATTCACAAATAAATCTTCCAGAAATGCCAGACGCAGGAGATTATCAATGTGAACAGACAGACAAGCGCTAACTGCGTTTGTGCAGTTTAATTCTGGCATTATAAAACTTTGTTTATTTACCAGTTCCTACCAGTGGGTCACTTACCATCTTACAATCAAGAGATGACATATCAGCAGAACTAATAATAATAATATTATCAAAATTTTACAATATAAATTAAATTATTTGTGCAGTTCATCATTTTACTAATCTTGTTTATTCAACATGCTATAAACTTATATATCGACATGCGATCATAAAATTCATATTCCTTATTGAAGGACACATTGCCTCGTACATAACTATTTTAAATTCAATTATAACATCAAGAATTGTGAGATAGTTCTCGAAGAAAAAATAACGCGATACTTAAATGTTCAAATTTCATGTTATGTTATTCCATAAATAAATCTGATTAAAGTTTTTAAGCCTGATTCTTCAATAAGGATCTTTAGGAGCAAGATGGCTGTCTTCTGGGTTGTCGCGTCCGTGTAGTCTGGTAGAAGTTTACTCACGTTTCAGAGATCATTTCTGCCTCAATCATCAGGGCATCAATAGCCCTCATCGTCGGTAAACTTCTAGCAGAATACACGGCTTAATATCCCAGAAGACAGCCAACTTCAGACTCACCGCCGTGAAAACCTCAAATCCTACATCTTTAGGAGCACTTTAAAAATGTAAAATTTACGAAGTTCGAAAAATAAAAACAGCTTATCACCAGATACTTAACAATTTAGGTCCTGTTCATTCACAAGATGCATAAACAAATAAAAATTAGTTTTAAAAAGTTGTTTAATAACTCACCGCCTGTCGCCATGACCACGCAAAGTAAAGCGCAAAGCCCCGTCATATGCTGCAACCACGAGGACACAACCGTCGAGCCCATCTGCCGACGCTATCAGGCGGACGAATGATTATGCTTCATCTCGACGCACTTACAGCGGTGCCAAAAGACCTACCGCGCAGGTCCACGTCCGTCCACTCGACCCTTCCTGGAAATGAGTGCACCTCGCATCTCTATTTATGTTAAAGTTTGTCATGAAGATGGCAGTCTTTTACTCAGAGTTATCAGACGAATTTAATTTCAGTTAAAATTGATCCAATATAAACATTACTTTACTTTAGCAAAAATCGAACTTCACCTGTTTTATAACACAAATTTTTTTTTTAAAAAAATTGGTAGACCACGTACGATATAATTCTTAAACTGAAATGTGTATGAAAACATGTTCTTATGAACACGGAAATAAACCTACGAGTTCCACAAAATACAAGAAATTTCTTTACTGACTAAATCAATATAACATCAAGAAATACTTGTATTATTACTGACTATTAAAGCAGGTGGTTCATCTAGTTACCACCAAGGTTTGAATGGTTAATACACAACGTTCTGCAATTCAAAGCAGATGCTGTAGGAACTGACTCCCAAAGATTAATAAAAGAGAGCAAATTCCTTTGAAAGAATGGTCCGTTTCAGTTACAAGAAATATTACAGCGAACGTGCCTAGAGTCCTTGAAATGGGATGGGTCGGGGGAAGATTATGGTGCCTATAGAATTTGAGATGTGACCGAACGACTGCTAGAATAAATTGAAGAGACATCGTGGGTATGCCACGAGGTAAACCAGCCCACATTCTCGTCAATACGGTATAGGGTAGACGCAGAAGGTAAATGTGAAATACTTGGGAACAACAAATATGCGTGATATTTCAGGTTCTCACGGTTGCGAGTATGGACATGACTGTCTTTTGGGTTATTTCGGTCTGGTGGAAAGCGAAAAACGTTTCATAGGTGCCTTCTGTCTCCGTCATCAGGGCGATAATTCCTGATTATTGAGGCCGTAAGCACCACTGAAACGTCAGAAAATTTCTACCAGAACAAGAATGAACGTCTCATATTATTGGATATAATAAGGCGTCAGTGTTATTTGTCTGAAGCCCATGTCACAACGGTAACAGTGGATAAACGTTTAATTAATTTAATTTCAGCAGTTTTTTCCTTTCTTTCTGACTAATTTAAATTTATAACACGTTATCTGATGTGGTAACTGAAGTATATACATTTATTTTCATTACAATTCGTTGGAAGGCAAAAAGCTCAGTCACTATACAATTTTATATTTATAAACTACCGTATTAAAAATTTTCGGAGCTTCGGAAAAGGATATTAAAACGCTATCTGAAGACGATGTTGCAGTGGTAACTCGCTTTAAATATTTAACTTAATTTTAAATCAAAAGATGGTAAAACATCTCGTTACTTTTTTATTTATAAATTGCATTGTTGTTTATGTAACGTTTAAATATATATATTAATATATTTTAAATATTTAAATGTTAATTGTAATAATATTTTAATATTTAATAATAATATTTTATTGTGAATAGACTGATAAAAATTGAACAAGAACGTTTAAAAAGTTTAAGAGAATAATATCTTAAAACACTGTCGTTATGGTAACTCAGTTATACATTTAATTTATTTTTAATTTAGCAGATTGCAGGGCAGATCACCTTGTCTTGCAGTTAGAACGGTATAGTGAGACTAACAGAGCCCTAATTGCATCTGAAACGTTAACAGCTCAGAGAAATGTGAGGTAGTATCCAGGGCATTTGCTATTGATGTATATGCCACGGGTCTCGAGACGCGGTTAACCATGAATGATGAATAGGAAGTACTACAGCAGGTCTGTATTCGGCCAACTTATGCAGCTCAAGTTCACCTGACACAGAACGATCTATAGATTATGCATCATGACAGTGAACAAACTTCATGGAACAGATCCCTCCATAACCTAACATTGGTACAAATGATAACACCCGAACGTTCATCACAGTGTTCACAAAAATCTCCAATAGTCTATATCCTGATTCATAATAACTCACTCGACATCTTTGCAATCAGTTTTCACTATAATTCGTTTTAATATTATCCACCCATCTATGTCTAAGTATTACAAGTTTTCTCTGCCATCTCATCTTTCTACAGAATAAGGACACAACACTGGTTTCATGATGGAGATATTGAGCTGGTAACAAAAGTGTCACAGACTGCGAAATATAGTTTTTGTACAACGCACAAAAAAATTGCACTTGTACCAGTAGTATAATTTTCAAAAGCTGCTTAAAAGTTAGAAATTTTAAAATGTTCGTAAGTTTCTCATATCTAGATGACAAGGCAGAATCCTACATGACGATGCAAACAGCTGGGAAAAATGTCATCCACACTTTATCCTATAATTCATCTCAAGTCCTTCTGTACAGCGTCCTCCGCCTTAATGGAGGCTGATGGTGGAATTAGTCCAATTATGAAACTATCACGTTCGTCTTGCATACAGACAGAATTATAGAATAATTCACCCATGTCTTTGTAATGGTGACAAGCCACTCATTTAAACCTTACTTGATTATAGGGAGATTGTGAGTCAAAATTATCCTTGACTGATACGCATATTTACGAAAATAACAAGAATGGAAAGGTACCTTATTTGACTTCGATACGCATGTGAGATTTAAGGTTCTCAAGGCGGTCTAGATAACGATTTTGATTTTCTGGGCTGTGACGCTGTGTGGACTCGTAGGTAATACCAACGTTTTGAAAAAAATAACATATTCTCTCCATTTTCAGGGTATATTTTTTCAATTTCGTACTGAACAATTTTGTACTCCTCTTTGTCGCTATCACTGATTTTCTGCAGATAAAATTCTATTATTGCAAAGCTATCACACGAGATACATTTCACAGAACAAAATAATTCTCTACGTTCCTTTACTGTGCCTCAATTTTATAACTTAAATCTGAGGTTATGTGGTACAATGGTTCCAAAATCATTTTAGCCTTGACGAGAATAAAATTTTTTGAGAATCCAAGCCTATAAAAATGAGTTAACATATAAGAAATTTCATGTTCTCACGGCGGTGATTATGAAGGTGACTGTCTTCTGGTTCTGGAATACTACGCCGTGTAGTCTGGCAAAAGTTGACCAAAGTTTCAGAGGTGCTTACTGCCTGCATCAGGACGAAGAGACTTCGGTCAGTTTGTACCAGACTACACGGCGCAACATCCCAGAAAACATTCATAATCCGGCTAACACATGATTTATTATAAAAATAATTATTTAAGATGTACAAGAAGTACTTTCTCTGTTCAATTTCATGTTTATAATAAAATGAGGTCTTTATTCTAGTCGATTTAAATGTACTGTAAGTACACATCAGGATTCAAACCCAGGAAAGCTCCAGTGTTTTTCCTTGGGAAACACTGTTATAACAGACTATAACCACCAGATGAAATTATCGAATAATAATGCAAACATTCTGAAAGTTAAACCCTGGGACTCTCGAAACAAGACAGAATACAATGAGAGAATCAATTCCGAAAATTCATATTTCGTATAAATTTCTTAAAGAAATTAAAGTTTCCTTAAAAAGTTTCAGGCCCGTACTTTAAAGCCCTTCGAATCTGAACACGTTTTAATGTTAATATTAAATAGTGTTGGACAACATAGGAGAAATATTCAAGCATAAAATTTCATATAGTAAAACTTTCCACTTTCTCGGATAAAAAAACCCTGAAAAACAAGTAATATGTACTTTACTGAAAGGGAAAATGAAGAACGAAAACTTGACAGAAAACTCAATACAACATCACCACAAAAAGAAGTAGATAAGACGTATCAAAAGTAGTGAATGAATATAATTAAATGAGAGTTAAATTATGGGTACACTAAAAGAGTTTTACATTTTGTGTGGAATTCACTCACATCTTCCCTGCGGTTGTAACAACACTGAAAAATTTATATTAATGACTCGATGAAAAAGTTGGATAGCAAAATGAAAATCTCTGGAACAGTCCTACATTATCGATATTCGTAGACCAAAAGATTAGCTTCGGCTTCCAAGGGTTAATATACCATCGGTCTGTGTGTACATTTTACCTTGAAATAAGATTCAAATTGTGTCAATTTATCACAAACATCATTAAAAGTTTAGGCCAACCCTCGTTTCTAGACACTGTTAACCTCATAGTTGACAGTTTCATCCACGAAATACTTTTCCTTCCCTTACATCAACATAATCAGTTTTAAAATACAAATAGGTGATGCTGGAGTTACTCAGCAAGGCACTTAACTAAGTTTTATGATCAAATCTGTACACGCATTTCAGATAAAAGGAATGAAAAAGCTGAACCTATAAAGTTTTCAGAGGAGACGAAAGGGGAAAAATATGGAGAAAGAAATATGGAAAGCTTATTCCGTTTTCCCACCCACGTCCTTTACCGCCCAGCTTCGTTCTTGATTGAACAAGTATTCGTCCCTCTCTACACAAAGTCAGAGCCAGGGGTACGAAACAGCTTTAATGTGGAGTAGAAAATGTAGTTAAACACACAACTTTTTATTAAAATATCTGTTCTCATTTTGATTCTGGGACATTTTTCCATTCCTCAACTTCATCTCATTCTTTTCGCCATGTCCATATCTGATCGAATTGTAAAATTAAAAGGGTTAAGTAACGACCCCCTCCCCCAAATACCTTTATTTATGGTAATCTCATTTTCCGAGAATTCTCCGTCGTGTGTTCTCTTGGCGAGTAACAGGAGATGTCCTTTGGTGTACGACCTTTCAAGATCTCTTGCTTCTTGAACACTCGAGTACTCTTCCGTGGTGAAGAGTTCACGATGCTCCAGTTTATGGCGTCACTGATGATTTCCCCCAAGACGGAGAGGAGATTCGCGTTTCTGCACCTTGAAGTTTTGGAGACGGGCAAATCCTCAAGTAGGCACAGCATTGTGTACAACACCCAATTAACACGACTGAGGAATATACGGAAATATGAATTTTAACGTCGGCGGATATGAAGATGACTGTCTTCTATGATGTGTAATCTAGCACACATTGGCCGACGTTTCAGTAGGTGCCAACTACCTCCATCATCAAAGCGATTGCATTACAGAAGATATCTTCTCGGTGACTAGAAATGACTCTTTAGTCGTGACTCGGATGTCACGGACCTGCTTCTGACTCATTTTTTGAACTGTAGTACATGATTTTTGTCGGT